GACCCCTCATCATGACCTCTGTTGTAATTAGGAAGTGGGGCCCCCAACATTGGAGAAATATAACGGGGATCAAAGCTGGTGGCTGAGAGCCAGGAAGGTTGTGGTTCGATTTCTGGATCAGCTACTTGTTAGTCCTATAACCTTGGATAAGTGGCCTGGCCTCCCTGAGACCCCTTGTAAAACAAGGAAAATAAAATAGGATAGTTTTGAAAAATGAGATAATGTTCATTAAGCCATTAGCGTGGTGCTTTGCATACATTAAGCTCTTAATAAATGTTAGCTATTATTATTGTGTCTGTTTCTCTTCCACCCTCACACCCACCCACAATATGTCAGATAAGGCCATGGCCAGCTCAATATCTGAAGGGGAATTTTATTGTAAGGAATCTCCCAGATTCCTGGTGTGAATAGGCTTCCTCCTGAGAGAAGCAGAGATGTTGAAGAGAAACTGGAATTTCCAAGAATCAGAGATTCCAAGAAAAGAATGAGGGTGAGAGCCTGTGGCTATTGGTCAGAGGGGATATAGGGACAAAGACGGAGGGTTATTAGATAAGGTTATTGGCAATGCTTTTGTCGGGGAAGAAAAACCTTTTCCGTTATCCTCTTAGAACTGGAGACCTGTGAATTAAGCTAACAAAAGACAGATTAATTGGGGAAAGGCACAATTTTTATGAATATTTACCTTCAGAAAAAAAGTAAAACTCAAGACTTAAGGTTAGACTCAGAGTCTTATAGGTCCTTTTTTTAAATTGAATTTTTAGCAGGGGAGAGAGAGAGAGAGAGAAACATTGATTTGTTCTTCCATTTATTTATGCATTGATTGGTTGGTTCTTGTATGTGCCCTGACCAGGGATCAAACCCACAACCTTGGTGTATGATGATGCTCTAACCAACTTAGCTACCTGGCCAGGGCCTTATATTCCTTTTTAACAAAGGAGAGAGGCTTTGGGCTCCAAAGGGACAATAAATTGTGGCGAAGTGACTAGGAAATATATGGAGGAAACTAACGGAAGGTAAGGGCTATTTAAGTAATAGCCACTTATGCAAATCATCTTGGTGTTGATGCCCTGCTTTCAGGGAGGTAAGTCATGTGCAGAGAACCCTTCCTGCCTCTGTTGATTCTAAATTGCCATCAAGTAACAATAAATCCTCATGCCAAAGTGGCATATTTTAGGGTGGCATATTCTGATCCTCTTCACTTTGCCTTCCTCTTCAACTGCAAGGACCAGGAATCTAGCAAGCTCCACAGTAGCAAAGCCTCCTTCAGCAGCCATAAAGAACGTCTCAGGTCTAGCTCCCAGAGCAGTTTTCAGACTCAAAGGAGCCGCAGTACCTGCCCTGTGCTCCTATATCCCCATCCCTTCAGGGCATCAAGAGGGAAGCTCAGAGAAGACACTCCTTAGCCAGGGAGGAAGCCATAAAAGAAACATATCTGGACTTCAGGTGATTAAGATTCACCTCAAAGAAACTATGCCTTTGAGGGTACTGGTGAGCCACACTGACTTCTCTGAGAACTGCCCTCCACTAATAGTCCTGGGATCCTGTAATTCCTTTAGTAGCACATGGGTATGGATTCTTTACCCAGCTGATAGGCCTGGGATGGACCCTCAGTCCAGAAAAGCCAATTCAGAACCTGTGCACAATCAATCAGATTTCCCATGAATTTGAAATTGGGATAGGAGATCATTTGGCTGAAGTTGCTGGACCTGGAAAGTCATGCAGAGAAAAGAAGTCTGCAGACAGAAGGAAGTGGATGGTCCATGATGTAGACATCATGGCTTCAACAGATAGGGCTCAAAACTGGTTCCTGACTGGCCAGTTCTAGCTCCCCTAAGGCCTGGCTGAACTTCCTGGGATTGAGTTGCATGACACTCCCCTTTTATTTAGTAATTCCAATGTTTCTGTTACTTGTAGCTAAAAGACCCGTGGCTAAGGCACTTTCTTTGACTCCATGGGTTGTACAAGGTCCCTTAGGGCCTGAGTTTCAGACCCAGAGCTCTGGTTTCCATCCTGGAGTAGAGACCTTGAATAGTGTCTCTCCCAGGGGCAGCCCACCTAGAGAGACTTCAGCTCACGTTTGGAGGGCGCGCCAGCACCATCTCTCACCACTGTTCCAGGGCAGAGAGCAGATATACGGTACCCACAGATCCTCTCCCAGAAACTACAATATTAATAGCTAACACTGGTGGCACCATGCTGTTAAAATTATTTCCAGTCCTCAAAACAACCCTGATTGGTTTTAAATATTTTTACTATTATCTATCTTAAAATATACATGGAGATCAAAACAAGCATAAATTCCTCATGCTTATAAGCTTTTATGGAAATAGGAAGCCAAACGATTGCGAAGCAAAACCACTAGAATTGATACAAACATTAGTTTGATATTGCAAATTAGTTTTTTAGCTGCAATTAAATTGTTTATGTTATATGTATTAAAAACAAAGCAAACAAAAACTGTAACCCTTTAAGTTAAGTATTCCTATTGGCATCCCCACTGTAGATGAGGAAATGGTGGCTCAGAGGGGTAAAGAATAGTTCCTAAGGTCAAACAGCTGAGGGTTATAATCAACCAGGGTAAGTAAAGAATCCCAGCTGCCCAAACTTGAGGCCCAGCTGCTAGTGTCCTGGGCAGCCCCTTCATCGAAATGGCAGCTCATGAGTGGGTAGGGACAGATCTTGAAAAAGACAGCCTGGAACAGAGGGAGTGCTTGTTAAATGTTTGTTGACTGACTAAATGATTGAATGAGTGAATTTGAAGATATGTAGTTGTTTAAAAGACAGCCTGCTTCACCCCGACCATGCAGAGGTCTACAATTCAGTGCTCTTTACTTATCACTGCTGCCAGCAGCCAATCCCGCCTCGTTACCCAGAAGCTAGTCTAATGGCATTAACCATCCTAGCCAGCCAGGATACCATTAAGAGTTTCAGTCCAGCCACTGTGCCCCCACCCTCGGTCTTGGCTCTGGGCCCTGGGCTGGGAGAGTGGTCTGGTTGTTTACCAGGAATTTGGACCTTCTTCAGAGAAAAGCACAGATGACCTATTAGTCTAATTCAAGCACTTAGCAAGGAATGACTGTACCATTCACACCCCAGCCCTAGGCTAATGGACCCAAAGAGCCAATGCAAATGGAGAGGTCTTGACGGCTCAGAAATCTTCCTGAGAGGGGAAGAAGGGGAAGTTCCAGCCAGTGCCCCACTGGACTTTGCAAGGAGGCAGGTTGAGTATTTCCTGGGGAAGGATGGGCTATGGGGATACAAAAATGTATAGAGAGCAGCTTTTCTATTTCACCCACCACTCTGTACATCCTACCTTAAGTCACCTCCTCATTGCCTTAAAACTTGGCTGGAGAAAAATAGAAAAACAAGCAAATATGTATCAATGCAGAAATGGTTAAATGGTGTATATAGAAATATGCATTCATACAAGCCCATGTTATGCAGATGATAAAAAGGATGATATAGCCCAAGCTCTATTCATGGATGCTGAAAGACACTATGACTTACATTTTGATAGGTAGCATCTGCCTCCACTTATGTAAAAATTAATTAATTTAGATTCTCATGTGCAGAAACACACAAAGAGCAGGTTTGGAAGTTTGAGAGTAAGACTTTAAATATTTCTAATTTCTTCTTGATAATGACCCATATCATCCAAATTCTCTACAAAAACCTTGTAATTGTTAACTTTCTTGAGTTCTTACTACATGTCAGTCACAATGCTTTTACATGGATTATCTCATTTCTTATGAGGTGGGTTCTAGTCCCCTTCCATGTTACAGATGTGGATACTAAATCCCAAAGAGGTTAAGCCCAAGGTCACATAGCTAATGGCTGACAAAGTCAAGTGTTGTTGGAGGATTAAAAGAATTAATCCTCATGTATTTGCACACAGTAGGGACTCAATAACTAAGGGTTATCATTATGATAATTGTATAGCACTTATCACACTGCATTTTAAAATTTACTGTCCTGCCTCTTCCCTTGCCCTGGTGTGTGAAAGGCTCTAAAACAGGATCTGAGTATTATTACCTTGGAATCTCTTGCACTTAGCACAGCACCTTGTAGCCAGCACTCATCAGGTGCTTGTGGAAAGAGTGAGTGAATGAGTTATCAGACAAATGTCCACAGCTCTGTAAATATATTCTTCCGACTGCTTTGCATAGGTGGCTGTTTTCTTATTCCAACAGGATTGCCAATTAGATCAAAGACCAGTCTCCCCTTTCCTCTGGCCCCCATTATAGTGTAGAACAGGCCAAGCAGGTACTCAATAAATGCTGTGATTGACCAAGGACCCAACCCTCTAAGCTGCTGGGGCAGATCCCAGGCAGTATCCCAGAAATGGCTGGAGCTTGGACAGATACAGGTCCATAGCCTAACATAAGCTAGTTTTTTCCTTCCAGCTCCATGTCAAGTACACAGAGAGGCTGAGAGACTTGCCTGAGGTCACACAGCAAGTTGATGGCAGAGTTGATGTGTCTCCTGATCACTTGGTCTCTGCTCTTCTGTCTGTAAAATCTCTTGTTTTGTATAAATTTTGCAATGTGAGAGAATGGAAAAAGAGTAAAGTTTTAAGTCAAAATGTTTAATCATGATCCAAGAGACTGGGGGGACTCTGGGACAACAGCAGGAAGAAAGCAAGGCTTAAATGCTCCAGCTCCTGATGCTCGAACATTCTATAGGATCCCAGGGCAGGGCAGGCAGCAGGTTCCCAACCTCCATTCAGAGAAGGAGACAAGGGAACAGGAGTCCAGGCTGCCTCAGAACACCCAGCCCTGACTGCCTATTGAATGCAATAGAGAATGACTAATTTGTTAGAACCTGGTGATCCTGATGGGGAGGGATCAGGAGAGAGTTTAGTAGAGCTGGTTACCACCAGAAGATATGGCTAAATCATGGTGTCCAATTCCTAAAGAGGGGCAGTCTGAGTCAGAAGTGGAGGGAATGAGAACTGAGCCAGTCAGCTTCTATTTTGTGAATGTGCGGTGGGGGATGGGGGTGGGTCAGGGTTGTCATGTTTTCATGCACCTCCTTCTTGATGCCGTTCTTTCCTCACTTCTTGCAGGCGGCAGGTCAGGCTGGATGTATTAGAGGGGAAGAGGGCCCCAGGGAAGTCCAGTTACCAGGAACTTGGGAGCAGAATCAAGGTAAGAGTGCAGGAGAAAAGAGAGAGCATCCAGGGCTGTGGCCTCGGCTCAAGGTTTCTGTTCTGTGGAAGAAATGCAATGGAGTCAGCTCCACCAACTTCATCAGTCATGTCCCCTTCCCCTGCAGTGTCAACTAGAAGTCTAGAGTATTCATGACAGCAACGAGATCACCGCCTCCATCCCCTTGTCTGCCTTACCTGGGTTTTTTCCAGATGGTTCGGTAAAGGTATGAGGAGTTTAATAGATGAGGTCCTACCTTGAGTTTCTTCTCATGTGAGGCAGAGTCCTGGGAGAAGAGTGTGCTGTGCAAATGCATCTTAACTGCAATGGCTTTCGCTGAGGAGAAATGAGAAGGTAGGTTGGAAACAGACGGAGATTTCTCAGGCTCCCAAGGCAGGACAGGGAATGTCTCAGAAACCCTGGGATGTAGGAGGGTAGATAGGTGGGAATAGGATACTTTCTCATTCTGCTTGCTTATTCCTTGAGCTAAATAGTGTCGAGTGTCCCTGAGGCCTAGTCAGGTTGAACAGGCAGCTTGGGGGTGGGGTGAGGTGGGGGGGCGGTCATTCAGGGAGCAGGAGAAGGAAGAAAGGCCCAGGCTGAGCGATGTAAGACTATTCTGAGGAGGAGGCTGATCTGGCAGCAGGAGATGGTTGGAGCTGACCCTTTTCTTCCCCCTGGGTCCAGCAGACCTGGCCATCAGGGAGGCAGCAGATGGAGCACACTCACTGAGGCAGGGGTTGCGGGAAAAAGCCTGTTCCAGCCGCTCACACTCCTCTTGCAGGTTGCCACTGCCTCGACAGGTACAGCTTAAGGCAACACTGGCATTGACATTGCTGACAAAGTTGGGGGTCATGGGAGTCCCTGTGGGGTGAAGAGGGGATCGTTAGGACCTAGGCCAGCCCCAGCTTCAGCTCCCACCCTCCTTCACCTGTATCAGGAGCACTCCATCTGGGTTCAGTAGCCAGCGCACTCTTACTCCAAGACCAGCCTGTGGGCTCCTTACACAGATCCCCCAGCCTCACCAATCATCCCCAGGTACGCTTGCAGACATCTGGACTGCTCTGTAGCACAAGTCCCGAGGATGTCCATGGGATGGCAGTGGGTCTGAAAATCGGCCAGGCGTGATCTGGAAAAAGAAAAATTCACGAGTTTCCTTTAAGGGTCTGGTGTGCAATCTCCACCCTTGCTGACCCTTTAGTCGACATGCCCACCTGCATGCCAAATCCTCCCCTGCCTTCAGAGCCTGGCCCAGTGAAGTCTGCTCCTGTCACAATTAAATGCACTATCATCCCAGTCCCCACAGCATATCACTGTGAATTTGGGCTTCACAATCCCTAGTTATGAGATCTCAGGCAGCTTCCTTAACCTCAGTTTTCTCAACTGTAAGTAGAGATCGTGGATTTTTGTGAGACTGAAATGAGAAAATGTATGTATAGCATTTAGCATGGTGTCTGGTACTTTTGAAGTATTCAATAAATATTAGATATTGTTACTATTAACAATATTAGATATTGTTACTAATAGGTAAAGCTGGTTATCTTCAGATAATGGAATGTTTCAGATAATGATTGTTTCTCTGTACAGATTTCTGCAGTTTTCCTTATATTTAGCTTTGTGTCAGGTTGATGGTTTACTTCTCTGTCACCTCCACTTAAATGCAAACTCCTTGAAGTAAGAAACAGTATCTTTATCATCTAGTCCAGCACTTGTTATGTTACAGTAATGGCTACCAGCACAATAATAGGCAGTATGGCAGAGAGGTTAGCAGCACAGACTCTAGGCCAGACTTCATTCCAAACCTTATTAACAAATTTGACTTATTACCTGGTTTTTAAACCTTTCTCTGCTGTGGCTTCTTCATTTGTAAACTGAGGATGACAAAAAAATAAAAACAGCGTCTATCTCACAGGGTTCTTGTGAGTGAAGTTTAGAAGAGTTAATTAATAATACATAGTAAGTATTAAAACAGTACCTAGCCCATAGTAAGTACTCAGTAAGTATTAGTGTTATGATTAGTGAGAGCTCTAACTAGGTAATATTCTGCAGAAGAGAAAAGTGGGACTCAGAGGTTAAATAACTTGCCCAAGCTTACAGAGGAGTAAGTGGTAGATTGCAAAACAAGGTTGGTGTGACCCCACTGTCAAAAAATGTCACTTGAATGGATGATAACTTCAACTTGGTGAGTGTTTTGTCCTGAGAAGGCCAAGGAAAGCCAGATCAGAATTTGGCTGGAGAATATGCATCAAACACCTTACAAATCTTCATGCCCTTTGATTCGGTAATGTAGCAACACACCCTAATCAGTAATTATATTTGTGCACACAGATTAATAAACAAGAATGATATTTATGCAGTATTATTTAGAATGCAACTTAAATATCCAACAATAGAGAATGATTAAATAAAGTATCGGACATCCATAAAACGGAGCACGGTGTAGGCTCTTAAAAATCAAGTTGTCGAAGGACAGTAAATCACAAAATAAGCACCACCATTTATTGAGCATTTACTTTGCACCAGCAAGTTAAGCACTCTACGTAAGTTATGTACTTTAACTCTCACCAAAATCCTATCAGGTCCACATTATTATCTCAGTTTTTACAGAGGACTGAGTGGAAAGCTGGGTTAAGTGATGGAATTTTAGGTTAAGTGATGGGCCCAAGGTCGCACAGACCCAGGACTTAAATTCAGATCTGTCTGGCTTCTGAGTCTGTCTTTACCACTATTCCATACTGCCTCCACCAGAACGTGCTCATGAGATATGCACCATAGATGAAAGAGATACAATGTAAGATACAAATATTGTCCTAGAATACCAAATTTTGTTTCTCTCTATGCAAAAAGGACTAGAAGGAAATGCTCTCCCAAAATACAGCAGGTTATCTTTAGGTGATGGATTTTTTTTTTAAAAGATTTTATTTATTTATTTTTAGAGAGAGGGGAAGGGAGGGAGAAAGAAAGGGAAAGAAACATCTATCAGTTGCCTTTAGCTTGCCCCCAACCAGGGACCTGGCCCAGGTATATGCCCTGTCCAGGAATCGAACCCCCGACCTTTTGTTTGACAAGCCAGTGCTCAATCCGCTGAACCATATCAGCCAGAGCTGGTCATGGATTCTTTCTTTTTTTTAAACATGAACCCCAAAGCATTTATGATTTTTTTTTAAGATTTTATTTATTTGTTTTCAGAGAGAGGAGAAGGGAGGAAGAAAAACATCAATGAGCGGTTGCCTCTCGGAGGCTCCCTCTACTGGGAATTTGGTTTGCAACCCAGGCATGTGCCCTAACTGGGAATCCAATCCGTGACCCTTTGGTTTGCGGGCCGGCACTCAATCCACTGAACCACACCAGCCAGGGTTGGTCATGGATTTTGAGTGATATTTTTATACGTTTTTATATTTTCTGAAGTTTTTACACACAGAAAATGCTATATTTCTTTTTGAGAAATAAGTTTCATTAGATATCGAAAGATAGATACATCATTAAGTCAGTCCACGGACCCTGGGGAGCCGCACCCAGGCTCCCAAGGCGGGGCGCCTGGAGGGAGTGGTGCGCACTGTGCCCTTGCCTACCCGGTCCACCCGCACCCAGCCCCGCACCTGCACAGCGGGTCCAAGAGGCAGAGACGCTGCAGCTCCAGGCAGTTGGAGGTCCCAGACGGCAGCGCGCAGCTCGGGGCGATGGTGTTGCGCCGTCGCTGCCCACAGCCCAGGTCAGAAGGCGCGCACGGGCACAGCAGCAGACCCTCTGCGTAGGATGTCTCTGCATTCTCGAAGAAGGCACGCAGCTGCCGGAGGCAGGTTCGGCGCTGGCAGTGGGGCCTCGAGCACGCCTCCCCATAGGCCTTGCGCAGCCGGCCACACTTTTCATTAAGAGTACACAGCATGGCGAACTTGAGGCAGAGGTCCCAGTCTGTGGAAAGAGCGACACAAAGTCACCAGTCCTCTGCAAAACCAGCTTCCCTCGGGAACCATCCCCCTCCTCCGCCCCGCCTCCCCGGCAACACTCTGATTTATCACGCATTGGTAGTGGGGCTAGGAAGAAAAGGGAGGACTGCCCTGAGTAAGCCACTCCTAGTCCAGGGCTTGCCCTCTACGCGCAAACTGTGTCTGGTATTTGTGAACCTCCCCCATCCCACTCCTCAGTTTGACTAGGTGAAAAAAAAAAAAAAAGAAAAGAAAAGGCCACATACATCTAAAGCTCCCTTATTTAGAATTCAAACAGCCAGAAAGCTCAAATAACCAAAACCCTTTCCTCAATCCTATGCATTGAATGGGAGCTCATGGTGGGAATAAGCTAGAGGCTCTACAACAATCTAAAACTTTCTAAACTGTCCAAAAAATGCAACCAAATTCTACTTAGGATTTTTGTTTTGTTTTACATCTGTCTATTCTGCTCAGTATTAATATCACCTGCTTGTCTTTCATTGGTTCATATATGCATACAAGTTTCCCATACTCTTGAATCTTGGGAAATTATGGTGATATTTCTATTAACAGAATATTCCAGCAGTCAGAACAGCAGAGTAACCAAAGCAGGTAAATTCCTGGATTCCTTGTAGTAACTAAGAGTTTATGTATAAATCTCTATGCTTTTCTCTCAAAATTCTAATATATAGGACTATATAACAAAACTCACCTTTCTCAAAGAGAGTAGTGCATGTGTGTGTGTTCCCTTCCAATTAAAGCAAGAGCTTCAGTTTCCTGAAAAACATGCATCGGAGTCCTTGCCAGACAGATGGCTCCACACCCTGAGACATCCCTGAAGCATCACACTCTCTCTAACCATTTTCCTTGCCCATCCCATTAGAATGGTTGAAAACAAGCAATTTCTTAGTCTTCAGGGACAAAAAGAAAAAAAAACAAACCTTACTTTTGTGGCCGCCTTGAATGAGGGTAAATACTCCATTTCAGCACATTTTTCTGGGACTGCTGCCACTCCCACCAAACCCTTTGTAGAGACTCGCCTTTTGGAACGAAGGAGCCCTAATGGGCTCTCTCTGAATGCCTCCCTAATAACTATTACTTTGATGACTTATGAGACCAGATCATGCCCCACCAGTCAGACGCCCATCCTACACAATGCTGCTTTAGTTACCTGGCAAGTGAGGACTCTTCCCTCGCAGGCCCCCCAACTGTGTTCCCCAGCAGGCGCCCACGACTCAGCCTCCACACCACAGTTTGCCCTCCATACCTGGTTTGATCATGCTCCATTGGCCGAGATTCATTTCCAAGGGTTTTCCAGTCACTGTGTCTTCATAGGGGGAGACATCCGGCTCATAGTCTCCTAGAGACAAGGTAGAGAGCACCAGAGTTCTGAGGACGGGTCTAGGGGCAGGAGCAGCAGGCCTGAGGCTGCTGAGCCAGACCTCAAAGCCCTTTAGAAAAAAGGAAAACAGTCTCTTGCTAACTAGATGCAAACTCTGTGGAAGTGAGAAAAAAATCAGGGGCATCAAGTATAGGCTGAGTGTGAGAATAACCTAGGTTTAATGATGAGAATAGTAAAGGTACCTTGCTGAGCACACTGTGCTGGGCACAATGGTGTAAGTGAAAAAAAATTCATACATATATATATTTTATATATACTTGATCTCATTTAATCCTCCTAAGAAGGCTTTGGGTAGGTAAGAAGAAACAAGATGAGAGAAGTTACTCACTCAGGCTCACATAAGCTAAAAAGTGGAGCTGGGATTTGAAACCTAGACTACACAATTGCAGAATCTCTGCTTCTAACCACTAGATATATTGCCTGTGGGTCCATGAGCAAGTAATAGGACTCTGTCTTGTTTTCTCTTCCTATTGGAGAGGGGGCAGTGATAGACTGTTCCAGGCCTATTTGGCTACGGAGAAGCATTGTATGGTGTGGAGGTGTGAGGCCAGGTCCCATATCAAACCAGAGGGAGAAAAGTAAAGAAGGAAGAAGTAATGATCTCGAAGGAAACACGTCTCCCTCAGTCACCTCCATGAGGTTGTAGGCTCCTTAAGGGGGCTTACTGGGCCTTACAAAATCTCTGCATAGTTCATATATTGTATATGGTAGGTACTCAGTAAATGTTGGTTAATCTATTTGGGGAGAGAGGGGAGAGAGGTGAGAGAGGTGAGCTTGCAGGGTTTTTCATACAGTAAGCCCCTGTGAATACATCTTTAGGAGGCAAGGCATATGGATCATGCTAGGCAAGCAGGAGAGGATAATTTGGATAGTTGGGAAGACCTGCTGCTTCCAAGGAAAGGGGGATTGGGGGAAAAGATCCAAGGAGAAGTCTCAAGGGAAGTTCTGAAACAGAAGGGATTAAGATGAGGGGTGGAAAGCAGGAAACAAGGAGTGTGGTAAATTGTATTGCTGTTTCCAATTATTTGCTATCCACCCAGTGGGAAGATGATACATCCCCATCTCTTGCCCTGTGACTTTCAGGTCCCCACCCACTGTCAGACTCAGCCACATGACTTGCTTTGGCCTGTGCATTTTGAGTGAAGTGATGTAAATCACATCTTAGCATAAGCCTTAAAAACCATCACCTGGTTCTGCTTTTGCTCTTCTCCCTCTACCAGCCTGGATCCCTGAATGAAGAAGACAGGTAGAGCAAAGACAAAGCCGACTCATGGACGCCTGCAGCAGATGTATAACATGAGCAAGAAATACATTTCTGTTGTTGAAAGACAGAAATTTTGGTGTTGGTAGTTTGTTACTGCAGCATAACCTAGCAAATTCTTACTAAAAATGTAATTGGTATCTAGATGTGGAGTGCTACAAGAAAAAAAAAGTCTAAAATATATAGTATTGGCTTTGGGACTGAGCAGTGGGTGGTGAACTTGGAAGAAAGGTTATATACCGAATGAGCTCGTGCTTTAACGGGAGAAGCTGAGAAGCAGATTACTAGTATGTATTGATTGTTACTGGCTGCATTTGGCAAGGTACTCCAAGGAAGATATAAGCTCAGAGAAGAACTGGCTAGTTTGCAAATAGAGAGGAAACAGAAAAGGGAGAATCCAGCAATTGTGGGACGTGCAGGATTGAGAAAAGTTGCAACTGCTTCTTATAATCAAATGGTAAAAGATAAAATTTGAGAAATGCTTTGAGTAATAAGGTCTATTACAACTCAGCCTTGGAGCAAAGACCAAATCAAGTTTGTGGTTAGCATGCCCTTTGTGGGGATTTCTCATTGATTAAGATGCTATCCAATAAATCCCGCCAGTTGGACGAATGAGCTCAGGGAAAGAAGACTAAGGTAGAGGCCCTCCCACAGAACCCTGATAAGGGCAAGGTACTTGTAATTCAGTGTAGAAAGAGATGCATGTCTTGAAAAGAATTATAGTAAAGGCCATCACTGGCACAGGTGGTGACAAATCAAACTATAAAAAGAAATTATGTTTTGAGAGAGTGAACTGCTAGGAGCCACCAATTTAGATTAAAAGAGACTGTGACTATTTGAGACTTAAAATGCTCCAATTTTCCTTTGAAAGGAAACAAGCTGAAATCGGTGCTCGGTCCCCAGGGAGGTCAGAGTCTCCATGCCCTTTTCAGATGTGGCCAAAGAAAAAAGACAGGTCTTTGAATCATGTTATTTAGTTCTACATTTTTTTTTTGTTATGATGTTAATGAAGGAAAAAAAAGAATTCATTCCCAGTAAAGCAACTGTCTGTGTGGAATGTGAGGTCTCCCTATGCCTGCTTGGGTTTTCTCTGGGTACTCTGGCTTCCTCCCCCATCCCAAATATATGCATGTTAAGTGAACTGGCATGTGTACACTGTCCCAGTCTGAGGGAGTGTGGCTGGGGGTGTGAGTGGCCCTGCGAAGGGCATCCTGTCCAGGGTGGGTTCCCGCCTTGTACCCTGAGCTGCCAAGAAAGGCTCTGGTCACACCCAGCCCTGATCTGGATTAAATTGGTTGGAAAACAATTATCTTGTTTTCATTAATATTTTTTAAATGTATGTATAGTTCACATTTATTTCAATGTTTAACATCATTAGTGTTTTGAATCTTTATTTAGAAGTCTGGTGATGTTTTGAGGCCAGAAATATGCTGTAGGAATTTAACTCTTATTTATATCAACTAGCCCACAGGAAAATTGGTTTCATTATATGTCATTTCACTTAAAGTCACAGTTTCCAAGAATGTGTTGATGACATCGAGTGAGGATTTATTGTAATGGAAAAGGAAGGACCTCCCAGGGAGCTGGGCCAAGAACCATGGAGAACAATGAATAGAGCAATTCTCCCATGCAGCGAAACCAGGGCCTTATTAAAGAATAACCACTGCTCCCAAGGAGTATGCCCCTCGAGACATTTGTCTAGTGGGACTTCAGAGTTACTATGAATCAATGTCTGCTGTGTGACTCTCATCCCTCCCTTTTCTTACTGAAATTATCTGTTATGGTCTTTCCTGTCCCTGTTCCATTATAGTATATTGAGTATGTACTCGAGGCAGGTGACTTGTCTTTTTAGTCAGTAAGTTTTTCTCTTTCTTTCTTTCTTTTTTTTGCTATTTTGTACTTACATTTTTTAGTTTCTTCCAGCATGTCCATGGGTCATGCCTGTAAGTTCTTTGGCTTCTCCATTTCCCATACTGTTCTTAAGATTCCCCCTGTCTATTTTGCTCCAACCAATGATGCTTCTTAATCCCTGCATCATTTCCCCCATTCTCTCCTTTCCCCCTCACTAGCTGATAACCCTCCAAATTATTTCCATGCCTATTTTTCTGTTCCTGTTCGGTTGTTTGCTTAGTTGTTTTGTTGCTGTTGTTGTTGTCATTGCTTAGATTCAGTTGTTGATAGTTGTGAATTTGTTGCCTTTTTAACATCCATTGTTTTGATCTTCTTTTTCTTAAATAAATCCTTTTAACGTTTCATATAATGAGGTCTTGGTGATGATGAACTCCCTTAGCATTACCTTGTATGGGAAGCACTTTATCTGTCCTTCCATTCTAAATGATAGCTTTGCTAGATAGGGTAATATTGGTTGTAAGTCCTTCTTTTCATCACTTTGAATACTTCTTGCCAGTCCCTTCTTGCCTGCGAAGTTTCTTTTGAGAAATCAGCTGATAGTCTCATGGGTACTCCTTTACAGGTAACTCTTTGCTTTTCTCTTACTGTTGAATATTCTCTCTTTGTCTTTAACATTTTAATTATGATGTGTCTTGGTGTGGTTTTCTTTGGGTCCAACTTGTTTGGGACTCTGTGCTTCCTGGACTTAGTATATCTCTTTCCTTTACCACATTAGGGACATTTTCTTTCATTATTTTTTCAAATAAGTTTTCAGTTCCTTGCTCTCCCTCTTCTCCTTCTGGCATCCCTATAATTTGGATGTCGACACATTTGGGGGTGTCCCAGAGATTCCTAAGCCTATCCTCATTTTTGTGAATTCTTGTTTCTTCTTTCTGTTCTAGTCAAATGTGTATTTCTTCCTTTTGAATCCCAGCTTACTTCCCTTCACTGTTGGATCCCTATATATATATTTTTTATTTCACTTAGTATAACCTTCATTTCTTCCTTTATGTTGTTGCCACACTCAATGAGTTCTCTGAGCATCCCGATCACCAATGTTTTGAACTCTGCATCCGATAGGTTGGCTCTCTCTGTCTCATTTAGTTCTTTTTCTGGACTTTTATTCTGTTCTTTCATTTGGGCCATATTTCTTTGTGTCCTCAATTTGGCAGCCTCCCTGAGTTTGTTTCTGTGTATTAGGTAGAGCTGATCTCATTCCCTGTCTTAGTAGCATGGGCTATGTAGAAAAGGCACCTGTAGATTGTGTGGGGCAGAGTCTTAGGTAATTGCTAGGGTGGGGCAACCCACTTCACTGCCTTGTGGCTGTGTGTGTTGGGAGGGTTCAGAGGGAAGACAAAGCCACTGTCTGGCTTCTGGAGGTTTGCCTAGCACTCACCCCATTTCCAGTCACTTCACCTGTTTCCTATATGTGACTGGTGCCCTTCCAACTGCTGAAACCCAGAGTGGGTGTGTTTGCGTATGTTCTAAGTCCCTTTTAAGCATCAAAAATCAGGCAGTTTCTTCTGCTGCCCCAACCCCCACTGATTTTTATAGCCAGAGATAATGGGGGTTGATCTTCCTGGTGCTGGAATCCTGGTCTGTGTGGTCTGGCCTGGGGCTAGGATCACTTACTCCCAAGGTACCCACTTTTCTTACTCACTGTACGTGAAAGTGGAACCCTCTGTTCTGCTGCTACCATGACTGCCGCCTCTTTGCCTATCCTTGTGACTCCTACCCTCCTCGCTATCTGGATGAAGGTGGCTTCTTCAAATCCTTGGTTGTCAGACATCCATACAGCTCAATTTTCTGACAGTTCTGGGTGTCAATTTGTTTTGAGATCTGGCTGTAATTCTTTCTATGGTTTCACGAGGAGGCAAAGTGTGTCTACCTATGCCTCCATCTTGAGTGGAAGTCTTTTTAGCTTGTAAGTTTCTAGATCAAAAGGAACCATATCCATACCTGATACAGAAATAATCACAAGATCCTAGACTTGAAGCTTGATGTCATGTTTGGGTAGAACTCTTAGGGCATCTTTCTTAGAAATTGTGTTGGTATAAAATGCTTGTGGAAAGGAGGAAAATGAATATTTTGAACAAGTGGTGTGTTGGGAACTGTCCTGCCTGGTATCAGGAACTATAGCCTCGCCAACAGGCAAGAGGGCCCCAAGGCTGGAGCTAAGCAAAGAGGCCTTGTGTAAAATAGGCCCCTGAGGAGACAAAACCTGTCCCCCTGGCAGGGGCGCAGACCCTGCCTCCCTCACATCACCCTGTTTGGCCCTGAAGGATAACTGGTTAGTCAATGACAGGTAAGACCCCTTGATGGTAGGGGCAACCTAAGACAGGCACAGTCCCATAGGGGCCATCAGGGAAGGACTTGGGAGACATGGAGAAAGGGCAAAAGACTCTCACCCCTTGGCTTTGATATGGATAGAGTCCCCATTCTACCTGAAAGAAGTCTCCTTATCTCTTGACTGCTCTGCTCTGCCTGCCTGGAACAGGCTTGAAACAATACTAGATGCTGTCCTAAACTGGATCAGGCGGTTCCCAAGGGAAATCAGGCCTAGAAGTAAATTACTTTCCTTGAAGCATGCCTTGTTTTTCTTAAAATTATGATACTGGCTCACGCTGGGAAGGAAATTTACATTATTCACAGACCCTGACCCTAAACCATTTGGCTCTCTTATGTTTACTTGTCTCAGAACCATGCAAATCAGTGTGTTCCTGCCCTTTGTCTTCCTCATACATTACCTATTCTCTGTAAACATTAAAATACTGATGTAATGAGATTACCTGTACATTCCTACTACCTAGCCCCAATTGATAACCCTTTCAATAAAAGCCATTGAACACAGGGGCTCGGGGCATTCTCCACTAGAGGGAATCACCACCCCCTTTCCCTGGCAGACCAAGAAGTGTCTGGAATGACTTATTTTATTTCCCCATTCATGGCGACCTGGAGTGGCTCTGTGGGACAGAGTCTGCCTCCCCCTCAGCGGTGGACTGTGAAAGTTGTATTATTTTTTCCAGTTATTTTTGCTCTCACTGTAAGATTATATATCCTCACTTATTGCCATTTAATCTTCAATGCCTCCCTGAGGGAGAAGTACATTTCCCCTCTCCAGTGATGTCTGGTTTGCCCTCCATGTGTTTTCCTCTGTCAATAGAATGTGAGCTGAAGCATTTTATGTAAAATCTGAGCAGGAGCTTTTAAAGCCATGGCATGGTTCTGCCATTGTTCATTCCCCTTTGCTATGAGAAAGGAATATCCCAGGTAGAGGCTGTACCTTCAGCCTGGAATGAAGGGGACACATGAAACAGCCAACATGGAATATGAGCAAGAACTAAATCTTTGTTTTGCAAATTATTTGTTCTACAAGTTATTACAGCATAATCTAGTGAAAGCTGACTAATACGCAGAGGGGCCTTTGGAGTCAGAGGAAGCTCTTTTCTTTGTCTCCTCCAGTGCCCTCTCTCTTTTACCATCTCCTGCCTAGCTAATGAGTACACTTTCTGTTAAAGGTTGCACCAGGACGCTGCCTCCCAGTCTCTGCATTTATGGATTACATTGTATTTGGAGCCTGTTTATGGGTTAAGACCATTTTCCTCCATCTCCTTCTCCATACCCTTCTGTTCCAGGAGCTCCCCAGCTTGGGCCACAGCCTGGTTCATATCTCTGCCAAGAGGCAGCTACATGTCATCAGATAAGAAAGGGGGAAATAGGCAATGTTGGGGGACCCAAAAGGATACTGGCAATTTCTCCCTCCACTTCTTACTGATGTCACATGGAAAGCTTCATTTATCATCGCTCTCAGAATCTACCATGTGGCTCATTTGCTGAAGGATTGAAAAACAACCCCAAGAGCCACCTTTCCTAGCTTAGTCTGCTCTGGGATGGGGACCTCACCAAGGCTGCGGGCAGGGTGTACAGTCCAGTAGATGCTCAGGCAGGTAGTTTGGTTCTTCATGCGTCGGTGGCATCTGCAACTCATCAGAGAGCTATTCCTGAGGTGTTGTGCTGACTCCAAGCAGTCTGCAGAAACTGAAAGTTCCTCTGCAGCTGATGGGGTGCAGGAATTCAGGTGGCGGTAAGCAGCATTGCAAGTGGGATCAGCCTGGCATTTCCTCCTGGCCTGGATACAGCTGTTCAAGAGCCGACCCCCAGTGGGGCGCAGGTTCCCTGTGAAGGAAGAGAGAACACATAAATCTCACATAAGGTCACAGTAGCTACCTGGGAGTACCACGTCCTCAGGTTAGGTGGGTGGGGGGAAGAATTCAGGTGAAGCCTTGGGCAGGAAAATCTTGGGTGGCACAAAAGACCTTCAGGAATAAGTGTGGGGAGAAGGAAGCCCAACAGGAGTGGAGAACAGATCAGGCCCAAGAAGAGGTAGGAGTCTAAAGAAAGGCTGCTTAGCCTCCTGGGGAAGAGGGACAGTTGTTTAACGATGACCCTGATGACCCTGCCAGGCGTAGGGAGGAGGGCCCTGGGCAGAGCTATGTGATGGGTAAGAGCTAGCATCATAATCAGAGAGTTGAGCATGTGCATGGGCAAGCTTAATGAGAATAATTCTGAGTCACTTAAAATACCTTACAGTGGGAACTGGTTTGGGTTAGGGTGGAGAGTTTTGCTGATTTTGTCACTCACTCAGGAATACCCAGAGCTAGTGATAGCTCAGCTCTGGAGGAAGGCCCTGCATCCTAAGATGTCGGGCCCCTATCAGTGGGTAATAGAACACCATCGTAACCCCAGTTTTTCAAGGCAAACCATCTAGGAGTCATTCTTAATTCTTTTCTTTCCTTCACATCCTACATTCAATCCAACAAGTCCTGTCAGCTCCGCAGCATATCTGGAATCTGTCCACTTCTCTCCACATCAATTACTACCTCCTTTGCTCTACTTACCAATAACTTTTGTCTGAACTACTGCCAAGACTCCTTATTGGTCTCTTTGATTCCATCTTCCAAATTCATTCTCCTGAACCACTCACCCACCCTTTCTTTATTGAGATATAATTGACATATAACATTATCTGTTTTAGGTGTACAACATGATGATGTGATATACGTATGTATTGTGAAATGATCACAATAAGATTAGTTAATATATCCTTCACTTCATACAATTACTATTTTGTTGTTGCAGCCATCTTTTTAAATGAAAATTTTTAGGTGGGAAAACATTTTTATCAAAATAAAATTCATGCAACATAAAATTAAACATCTCAAAGGGTACAATTAAGTGGAATTTAGTACATTCGTGATTATTTTCAACCATCACCTCCACCTAATTTCAATACCTTTTTTTCACTCCAGAAGGAAACTCATACCCACTAAACATACCATTCTACCTTCCACCTGCTGCTGGCAACCACTAAACTGCTTTCTGTCTCTATACATTTAAAAAAATTTTTTTATTGATTGATTTCAGAGAGGGAAAAGGGGGAGGGAGAGACACAGATTGATTTTTGTTGTTCCACTTAAAATACCTTATGTATACTATTCATCTGAAAACAATGAATGTTATACATTCATTGGTTGATTCTCGTATGTGCCTCGATTGGGAACCAGACCCATCACCTTGGCATGTGGGGACAAAGCTCTATGAACTGAGCTACTCCAGCCAGGACTGTCTCTATACATTTTCCTAGATGTTTTATGTAAATGGAATAATAAAATATTGAATCTTTTATATCTGGCTTCTTTCACCTAACACCCTGTTTTTGAGGTTTATCCACATTGTACTATGTGTCAGTGCTTCATTCTTTTTTATAGATGGACAGTATTTCATTGAATTGATATATGACATTTTGTTTATACATACATCAGTTGATGGACATTTGGGCTGTTTCCTTTTAGTTACTGTCAACAGTGCTACTGTAAACATTCACGTACAAGTATTTGCTTGAATATCTGTATTCAGTTCTTTTGGGTGTACACCTAGGAGTGGATTGCTGGGTCACATGATAATTCTATATTTAACTTTTTGAGAAACTGCCAAATTATTTTCCATAGTGGCTGTACCTTTTTGCATTCCCCCTAAAAATATACAAGGGTTCCAATTTCTCCATACACTTGCCAACTCTCATTATTTTACTTTTTAAAATAGCTATCCTAATGGGTGTGAAGTGGTATCTCATTGTGGTTTTCATTTGCATTTCCCTAATAACGAATGATGTTGAGGGCATTTTCAGAGTAGCCATTTGTATAACATGTTTGGTAATAAATTTTTTATTGAAGTATAACATATAGAAAAGTACATAAATCAAGTAAGTACAGTTCAATGAATTTCAAAGGGATTACACCTGTGTAATCAGACAAGCGAAGGACCAGAACATCACCAGCACCCTGGAGGACTTGCGCTGGTCACCATCCCTGCCAAGGAAACCAGCATCTTTATTTCTAATGTTGCCTGTTTTTCAGTCATACAACAATTGCTTTTGGTGTCTTGGTTTCCTTAGCTCAATATTATGTTTATGAAATTCACCCATACTGTTAAGTGTAATTGAAAATAGCTTATTTTTTGTTGCTATATAGCATTCCATTGAATGTAACATATTTCTAATTATGTACCCTCATTATAAAAACCTTTTAAGACCCAGTCCTTGCCCGCTTCTTCTTCTTCTTTTTTTTGACAACTGATAGTCAATTTATTAAAAAGGTTGATTTAAGCACCTACAATGATGACTTCAACCTGGACTCCTGGCTCAATACTGATGGAAGTACTCTGCTTAACAATCTCAGAAGGGCTGTGCAAGCCAATGAGTGGCTTGCGGATCATCATCTGAAATCAATCCCAGGTCTTAGAACCCTCCCCACAAGGAGTTTTCTTGCAGTGATTCTCAGAGTCTTAGTAGACATCACAACTGGTCCTTTCATTTTGAGATTCTTTTCCTTTACGCCTCTGATCAAGTCAGCACACACCATCTCCAAAGACTTTATGTTTCATTAGAATTAGAGTAATTCTAATTCAATGAATCACCACCTCTGTTTTCACAGGTGGCTTTCTAGTATCTTTAAAAGCCATTGCTGTGGCACTGCTTCCTCATTGACTTGTTCCTCGTTGAGAGTGAAAAGCAGTGACTCAGGAGCAGATGTGGGCTGACATGCAACAGCAACCGCATCTTCCTCAAAAATCCCACTTCTTTAACTTGACTTCCTAGTTCTCGCTTCCTCTCCCACTTCGCTCCATCTACACTAACATTTCCTCTGGTTGACATTAAACAAGACAACTTTGTGTCTACCTTAGGGTTTTCGCCCTAGCATTTCTTTCTGCTTGGAGTGCTCTTCTCTGTCATCTTCATATCGCTATTCCCTTCTGGCAATCCAGTTTGCAGTTTAATGTCATCTCCGAAAGGCCATCCCCAACTAACCCCCTCACTACTCTAACACATTATTACTTCAATTCTCTGCATAGCACTTATCACCATTCGATTTTCTTTTACTTAATTTTTTTCTGATTATCTCCCCTCCAGACTTCCATGTTTATCTTATTGCTACTCTGTCATCAGTGCCTATTCTTTGTGAGTTCCTATTAAGAAACAGCCAGATAGACTTCTGGTCAAGATGGAGGTATAGGTAGACACACTTCACCTCCTTACACAACCATAGAAAGAATTACAACCAGATCTTAAAACAAAAAACACCCAGAACTGTCAGAAAATCAAGCTGTGTAGAAGGCTGACAATGAAGGATTTAAATAAGCCACATTCATCCAAACAGGTAGGAGGATCAGAGTCACGGAGACGGGTGGAGGTGGCATGGTGCAGAGAGGTGGCAGCAGTGGCAGAGGAACAGAAGGTCCCACAATCATGTATGTGGATAAAAATCAGAAGGGATGCCTTGGGAGAAAGCGGTCCCAGATGCAGGCCAGATCACACAGCCCAGGGTTCCAGCACCGGGAAGATAAACTCCCATTACTTCTGGCTGTAAAAACCAGCAGAGGTTGGAGCCACAGAAGAAACTGCCTGATTTTTGCCACTTCAAATGTTCACAGGGACTTAGAACATAAGCAAACACACCTACTCTGGGGTTCACCACTGGGGCAGCAGCCAGTAGGGTGCAAGCTGCATACAGGCAGTGACTGGTAACGGTGCATGTTGGGCAAACCTCCAGAAGCCAGACAGTGGCTTTGTCTTCCCTCTGAGCCCTCCCAACACACACAGCCACAAGGCAGTGAAGTGGGTTGCCCCACCCTAGCAATTACCTAAGACTCTGCCCCACACAATCTACAGGTGCCTTTTCTACATAGCCCATGCTACTAAGACAGGGAATGAGATCAGCTCTACCTAATACACAGAAACAAACTCAGGGAGGCTGCCAAATTGAGGACACAAAGAAATATGGCCCAAATGAAAGAACAGAATAAAAGTCCAGAAAAAGAACTAAATGAGACAGAGAGAGCCAACCTATCGGATGCAGAGTTCAAAACATTGGTGATCGGGATGCTCAGAGAACTCATTGAGTGTGGCAACAACATAAAGGAAGAAATTAAGGTTATACTAAGTGAAATTTTAAAAATCCACAGGAAACCAGCAGTGAAATAAATGAAGCCAGGATTCAAATCAACAATTTGGAACATAAGGAAGAAATAAACAGTCAACTAATACAGAATGAAGAAACAAGAATGCAAAAAAATGAGGAGAGAAAAGGAATTTTCTGGGACAACTCCAAATGTGGTGACATCCAAATTATAGGGATGCCAAAAGAAGGAAAGCAAGAAATTGAAAACTTATTTGAAAAATTAATGAAAGAAAATGTCCCTAATGTGGCAAAGGAAAGAGATATACTAAGTCCAGGGAGCACAAAGAGTCCCAAACAAGTTGGGTCCAAAGAGTACTACACCAAGACACATCATAATTAAAATGCTAGAGGTTAAAGACAAAGAGAGAATATTCAACAGTAAGAGAAAAGCAAAGAGTTACCTGTAAAGGAGTACCCATGAGACTATCAGCTGATTTCTCAAAAGAAACTTCGCAGGCAAGAAGGGACTGGCAAGAAGTATTCAAAGTGATGAAAAGAAGGACCTACAACCAATATTACCCTATCTAGCAAAGCTATCATTTAGAATGGAAGGACAGATAAAGTGCTTCCCATACAAGGTAATGCTAAAGGAGTTCATCATCATATGACATTATATGAAATGTTATAGGGACTTATCTAAGAAAAAGAAGATCAAAACTATGAACCATGAAATGACAACAAACTCACAACTATCAATAACTGAATCTTAAAAGACAAAAACAACAAAAAACTAAGCAAACCACCAGAACAGGAAGAGAATAATAGGTATGGAAATTATTTGGAGGGTCATCAGCTGGGCGTGGGAAGGGAGAGAATGCAGGAAAAGGTCCAGGGATTAAGAAGCATAATTGGTAGGAACAAAATAGACAGGGGGTCGTTAAGAACAGTATGGGAAATGGAGAAGCCAAAGAACTTACAGGCACAACCCATGGACATGAACTAAGGAGGGATTGCTGGAGGGAAGGGGGGAACCAGATGAAGGGGAGTAATGGGAGAAAATTGGAAGAACTGTAGTAATATAATCAATAAAGTGCACTTTAAAAAAAAGAAATAGCCAGATAACAGAGACAATCTGTGAACTACCTCTATAACTTCTCTGGGTGCCTTCCATCTGCTTACAATCAGAATCCCAAAATTGGGTGGGGCCTCAGAGTTTAGTTAGTCCAACCTGCTCTTCCAATCATATGAAAATCAATTAGATTAGTTTTTAAAATTGAGATTTCTGAGCCTTATCCCAGAATAACTGAATCAGAATCTCTAGTGATGAGGCCCGGGAATCTGAATTTTAGCAAGTTCACTGGAGAGTCATATCCACCTTATAGTTTAAGATTCGGTGCTATACGTTATACTTGACCTAAACTACTCAACCTAATAAGTGCATTTGGCAAAATAGCAGGATACAAAATGAATATTCATAAATTGAAGGCATTTTTGTATATCAACAATGAAATATCAGAAACTAGGAAATAAATCCCATTTACTATAGCAACAACAAAAAAATGTACCTAAGAATAAACTTAACCAAGGAGGTAAAAGACCTGTACTCAGAAAACTACAGAACACTAAAGCAAGAAATTAAGGAAGACACAAACAAATGGAAGTATATACTGTGTTCATGGTCCAGAAGAATCAACATCATTAAAATGTCCATACAACCCAAAGCTTGGTATAGGTTCAACACAATCCCTATTAAAATACCAATGATATTTCACAGATTTATAACAAATATTTCAAACATTTATAGGGAACCAAAAATGACCCTGAATAGCTGCAGCAATCTTGAGAAAGAACAAAAAAGTAGGAGGGATCATAATACTTGATACTAAACTATACTACAAGGCCACTGTAATCAAAACAGTCTGGTACTGGCATAAGAACAGACACATAAATCAATGGAACAAAATAGAGAGCCCAGAAATAAACCCATGTCTTTATGGTCAAATAATATTTGACAAAGAGGGCAGAAGCATAAAATGGAGTAAAACTAGCTTCTTCAACAAATGGTGCTGGGAGATCTGGAATAGTACATGCAAAAAAATGAAACTAGATCACCAACTTATACTATACACCAGAATAAACTCTAAATGGATAAAAGACTTAAACATAGCCATGACACCATAAAAGTCCTAGAGGAAAACATAGGCAGTAAAATTTCAGATATCCCACTCAGCAATATTTTTGCCGATAGGGCAAGGGAAATAAAGGAAAGAATAAACAAATGAGACTACATTAAATTAAAAAGCTTCTGCACAGCTAAAGAAAAACATCACCAGCCCTGGCTGGTGTGGCTTAATGGATTAATTGAGTGCTGGCCTGCAAACCAAAGGGTTGCTGATTTGATTCCCAGTCTAGGGCACATGGCTGGGTTGTGGGCCCAGTCGGGGGCATGCGAGAGGCAACCACACATTGATGTTTCTCTCCCTCCCTTCCCCTCTCTAAAAATAAATAAATAAAGTCTTAAAAATTAAAAAAGAAAAAGAAAAAAAAGCATCATCAAAATGAAAAGGGAACTAAAGGGAACCAACCATACAGGAAAACATATTTGCCAACGATACCTTGGACAAGGGTTTGATCTCCTAAATATATAAAGAACTCATATGACTCAACACCAGGAAGACAAAAAATCCAATTAAAAAATGGGCAAAGGACCTGAACAGACACTCCTCCAAGGAGGACACACAGAAGGCCCATAAGCATATGAAAGAATGCTCAACATCAACACCTGGCAATTCCACTGCTGGAATTATACCCTAAGAATCCTGAAACACCAATTCAAAAGTATTTATGCACCCCTATGTTCATAGCAATGTTATTTATAATAGCCAAGTGCTGGAAACAACCTAAGTGCCTATCAGTAACTGAGTGGATTGAAGAACTGTGGTACATTTACACAATGGAATACTATGCAGCAGAAAGAACGAAGGAACTCCTACCTTTCATGACAGCATGGATGGAACTGGAGAGTATTATGCTAAGTGAAATAAGCCAGTCAGTGAAAGACAAATACCATATCATCTCACCTATTATAGAAACCTAATGAACTAAACAAACAAACAAACAAACAAACAAAATAAAACCAGAAGCAATGGAAACAAGGAACAAACTGACAGGGACCAGAGGGGGATAAGGGAGGAAAGAAGGGAAGGGCCTAGTTAGAGAACGAGTATAAATAACCCATGGACACAGACAACAGGGTGGGAATTGACTGTGGCGAGGGGAGGGATAGGGAGAGCAACAGGGGAAAATTGGGACAGCTATAATAGAAAAAAAAAAAAAAGAATCGGTGCTATATTCAATGCATAAAGACGGGATCAAAATTACTGATTTTTCCTTTTGCTTCAAGCCCCGATATGCCTTAGTATGACATCGTTACTCTTTTTTATTTAAAATTTTGACATCTTGTTCATCATGGATTTTTTGGCGTTAATTTTGGTTTAAAAAATATTGCATTAAAATATCCTTTATCTTGACTACTGAGTTTCTTAGCAACTCCTTCACTCACCTCACATTAGCCCCAGCTCTACAAAGGACAATTTAATTCACTTTCTGGACCTTAGCTTCACAAACATAAGATAAGGGGATTGGATTAAACCAGAGTTTCTGGATGGAGGGGATGAGAAAGAGAGAGGTTAGGCCCCTTTTAGGGGTATATCAGAATTTTCAAAGGGAATGTGTGGTTCAAAAAAAAAGCACATTTGATAATTTTATATGTGAAAGATAAAAAGCACAGCTTTTGAAGTTTCAAAAAATAATTAAGAAAGGCATGAGATTTTCATCTTTACCAAAAAGAGAACATGATTTTAAATAGTTTGAGAAATACTAAATATTTCAGATGTTACTTCTGGTAGATACCCAATAAATGCTTGCTGAAAGAAATGTAGCAGGTCCAAGTCTCATTGCTTTAGCTGGACTAAATATTGAATTGTAACTATTTTCAGAAGTAAACCTCTCTAATTTCTAAGCTGATAGTTCATCATGTCTGAGCAACAGTGGATTTAGGGGCACTGCAGCTCAACAGAGGGTGCGGGAAAGGTGTTCCATGTTTATCCTTGATCCTGACAGGCAGCCATACTGGCAGGGTTAGTGAAATGTCCTGGGGCAGTCAAATCAGACCAGTGATGTCTTGCTGCCCTGATTTACTGATGGAGTCAGTCTGGGCAGGCTAGTCCTTCCCCTCCTTCCTTCCATATCTGTCTTTCAGCCAAGATTGCATTTCTCTAGTACTTACCTTGTGGATGGAGGTCAGTCCATGTGTGGTATCTGCCTTAGTATCCCCTCCACTCATACTCTGGGTAGGAACCCCACAATGAGGTTCCAAAGCACCCATCCCATTCCAAAAGGCCATGGGCCATTCCCTGGGATCATGAATCCCAGGCTGCCCTTCCTTGGGGCAATGACATGCTTCAGAAACCAGGTCTTGAACTACACATTCCACAAAATATCTATTGTGTATCAATAATAGGGCAAGGCGCTGCTTGGCAGCTTGCAAGGAAACGCCATCTTGCCCAACAGTGAGTTTTCTCCTCTAATTAAAATAGTAACAAAAAGTATATCCTTAAGAGGGGTAGATTGCTGGTGACCAATGTTCTCAGCAATACAACCAAATACCGGTGTTAGCATGTTCTGGCAGCAGTTTACAAACCTAATTCGTTTCATGTCAGTTCTAATAAAACTTTCCTCATCTGTACCTAGTGTCCAGTTCCCCAGTGCTTACAGGGGGTGGAAGAGATGAAGCCCACGTGGAGCAAATGGAGACCGTCCCGCCTCCTGGAGATGCTGCTGTCGCGGAACTGGCCTTTCTGGCCGTGGGCTCTTCTGACTGTGCAGATGCGCCGGGAGAGAGGGAAGGGAGGAACGGGGAACTGGGAGATGCTTGGGTGCCCTGGCCAAAGCATGCGACTCAATCTACAACAGTTCAGACACTTTATTAGGCATGGAACCCAGCCCCTTCCTGCCACCCTGGGCTCCCTCCTGTAGATCCCCAGGCTCAGAGGGATGGACAGCCGGGACCAGGTGGCCATGTGGTGTCTGAGTCCTCTCCGGGCAGTGCTGACAGGTCTCCGCTTACACATCCCCCTCCTCCCCCCCCCGCCCCCCCGCCCGCCAACACCCTGGCCGGAGCGGTCCAGTGTAAGCACCGAGGGCACTCACCGGCTCCGAACAACGCTGGCGGCGGCAGCAGCAGGAGCAGGAGCACGGACAGCGCTGGTAGCAGGTTCTCGGGGTGCGCCATTGGGGGTCAGCACGGAGGAGTTTGCCCCCCGGCGCGTTCTGCGTGCGCCTAATCCGTGCTCTGCACTGGAGCTTTGCGAGCCTGGGGGCCCCTCCCCGGCGCCTCCCACCACTGCCTTCCGCCCCTCCTCGCACAGAAGGCGCCAACTCTCCCATCAGGGTCCTGGGCGCCGCCCTCCAACTCCGGAGTGGACAAATGCCCCGCTGCCTCTACAGTTCGGAGAAAGCTCCGGGGTGGAGGCGAAGGAGGGCAAGTGCCCTAGCCGCGGGAGCCGCAGGAAGACAGCGCTCCTCCCGAGCCTGCCGACCCACTGTCGGCTCCCGCCTGAGATATTGGGAAAGCTGCTGCTGGAGACTAGAGGGCTCCCCACATCTACCCAAAAAAAAAAAAAAAAGCACCCTTTCCCACTCCACCCCACTACCACCAAGGAACAACCGTCACAAATGAAACCTTGTAATACAACTTAAACAAGCACTACAGCTCTTGCATTTCTAGTATATTTTTTCTTAGAATGTGCACATTTATGGTTTCATTTACCCCTCATAAGTATCTTCAAGGATTAAGTTCGGCCATTGACTTCAACACCAAGATTCTGCAAAGATGGGTCCCAGGCAGCTGGCAGCAGATCTGGTGCCAGATCCCAGGACGTTTGCCAGACCAGACTTCTTCAGCCCCTTCAGTGTCATGGGGGAGGATGAAGGATTAAACACTTCTTAGACTAAATGGCAGAGATTTCCCTGGAAGAAAGACAAGATCACTGAGGAAGGTGGCTGGAGAGACCATTTAGGAGGCTCATCATCTTCAGAGGCTATTGCAGAGAGCAAGCTACTCTCCTGAGGTGAAACAGCTAGGTAGAAACACAGCTGTGCCCAGAGCCCAGGATTTCTATCTATAAGGGCAAGGGTACTTATGGGCTCAGGGCCAATTTCCACCTGCTCCCAGCGTAAATACAGAGGCAGATGGACTTGCAGAATGAGAATAAAGCAGTGCTTAGAAAAAGGGAAAAGGAGCATGATGAAAGGAAGTAGAGGTTTTCATCCCCTAACCCTCCAACAAAGCCCTCGCCTTAACTTCCACAGCCCACGTGGCGGAGGGCCCGGAGGAAGGGTATTGAGAAGTGCAATATAAACCTCTGAGATTTATTGGCTGCTGCTTCTGAGTATGGCCATCCTGCTGTGGCCTCTGGGGGGCATTTGCCGATGTAATCAGCCCAGAAAGAGAGTCATTCCAGCCAGGGGTGTAAATCACCCTGCACAAAGCTAGGAGAGAGACATGTGGCCCTAGATAAGGAAGGAGACTGATGTGGCCTCTTGTGCCCTTTCCTCCCTCCTCCTGCCCAGGGGGAGCTGGTTCCTGAGCTGTAATGCACTTTAAATGGAGTTTGTGCTTCTTTTTAATCTATATCTGCCCTGCCAGTCTTACTGGAGAACTGCGAAAGTGAACATCTGGCTGCCCAGCCTTTGCACAAGGCCGGTTTTCTCCCCCAGCTCCACCCTTCCTTTCATGTACTTTCCCAAGCCCTCCCCTCCAGTAAGGTTAGGAAACCTGTAGCTGGGGAGCCAATTAATGGCCCCACTTTCCACTCCCCTCTACCAACAGTTTCAAAATGGAATTTACAAAGCAAAAGGTAACCATTTCCAGTGGTTGGGAAAGGGCTGAGACATACAAATCAACAAAGACATGATGTGGTCAAGGGGTGTCACCTCTGCTGTCCCTCTTCTTCAGCAACCAAGTGTCGGGTAGGATGGTAGGTTATTTGTTCAGGGTGCCTACCCAGTGTCTATGCTATCCCCATGGAATGGATCAGAAAGCCTGGAACAAGATTAACTAATGGGTGAAGAGCAATGCCCGGTTCTACCTATAAGAGGCCAATCTTCTTTTGAGAGTAAATGAGATGCCCAGAGCGTGTATCTGGGCACAGGATCAGAGAGCTTCACATCATTGGGCCTTTAATGAGGACTGGTAACCAAAGCTAAAGGGGGGTTGAGGAAGCCTCTACAAATAAATATGACTCCAAGACTAACACTGACAGCTCTTCCAGCATACCCTCTCCCCACAAACATGCCCTCTATGACTGCCAACACCTGCTAGATAAGGAGCGTTGCCATTGGGAACGTAGTGGATGATGACAAGAGTCAGTCCTGTCTACAAAAATGATGTTACTCAGCCATTATTCACCTCAATAATGCTTTCTGAGACTGATTATGGGTTCAGCTTTGTGCCAGGCACCAAAGAGATTGACACAAACCCTGCCCTGGGAGGCACTGCAACCTCCTGATTGGGGCTCCAAGGCCCAAAGATCCTGTAACATACTCCATTTTCACTGGTATTCTTGGTTTCTTGCTTTCTATCAAGTCTTCCCTCACTGTTAAGCTTTAATTCCTGCAGCTACCTTAACTCAGGATATTAGCAATATAGTGAATAATAGATAAAGAGTACAAGCTTTATAGACTGGGTTCAAATGACATTTCAATACATGCTAGGTGAACTTGAGCACATCACTTCATTTTTCTGTGCTTCAGTTTCTTCATCTGTAAAAGTAATAACAGTATCTACTTCATACATATAACAGCCGTGAGAATTAAATAAGTATATATTGAGTAAAGGGTTTAGCTTAGTGCTTGAAACAAAGCAAGCACTGAATAAAGTGGTATCATCCCAAATGGCATTCAAGAGTTAATGATCTGTGAACTTGGCCAACCCCGACCACCCAACTTGCTGCTTTGGATCTGGAGACTACATATAGTTCTTCCTTTTGCTGAATATATTAGAGGACCAGGGATGAGAACAAAGAGCATCATTTTCTACCTTGTCAGTTTTTTGAGGGCAGGGACTGTATCATATTTGAATATCTGTGGTACTCAGAATTGATAACTCCAGATACATATAATTTTAAAGGAATCGGTGTTTCCTTAACATTTGCCTGAATTGAATGGGGAAAGAAAATACTATATGCCTCCCACTTTATACTCCTGAGAAGAGAAATGCTCCTCCCTCTTTATGGCAGAAGTCATCAGGTGCTAGGCTGAGACTGACAACCAGAATCAGTTTTAGGCCAAAAAGTTTCCATGCTTTATTACTTCATGATGAATGAATACTAGTCATGCAAGGATACCAGTGCAGAGTCTGCTCTTAACCTCATCTCCCAAGCCCAAGCAACCCTTATGGCCCTGACTTCTCAAGAACCTACAATTGAGGCTTACATATTTAACATGCAATACAATGCCAACTCTAGAAAGACACATTGTTCTTTGGTGAGAATTTGGTAACAGCAAAATCCATTAAGGGTACAGACTCTGCAGCCATATTGCCTGGGTTCAAATCCCATCTCCACTATTCACTAGCTGTGTAACCTTAAAATGTTATTTTCTTTATCTATAAATGTGCATAATAATCAGTAACTGCCTCACAAAATTGTTAAAATTAGTTTATATAAACACAAGGTCATAAAAAATCTTGCATGCAATAAATACCTGAAATGTGTTAGCTATTGTTTTTGTTCCTGAAAACAATATGAATCAAATCACATGGTACCTATACAGTAGGAGGGTGTTATGAAAACTTATATTGGAAAATGTTGCCTTTTAGGCAAACATAATTTTTCACAAAGTAGATAATTAATTAAGCCCTGGTTTTTTAGGGCCCACATGGTTGCAACTCAGAATTTCCACTTATTAAGATTACTGAAATGTGAACATATGTGTACCAGTCTCTTCCCAGGTGACGGCCTGGTTCTACCTTTTTGGGGAGGAATTATCAGGAAATGACCCACTAGAGTAGGCAATGAGTCAGGGACTCCTCCTCACACTGGGAAGTAGAAGTGCTTCAAGCAGTTTCCTCTTTGGGCTACTAAGAATTCTTGCTTGGTGGGGGTAAGTATGTGGGGATGGGGCAGCAGCTTTTCTCTCCTTTTTTTTCTGCACCTCTTCTAGTTTTGGGCTCAAGGGCTCAGGGAGGCCAGAGAGATATCTTCCCCCTGGACAGACAGGTGCGTGCTAGGAGCAGAGGCTGGCTTAGAGAATGCTGCAGTGCCCTCTGCTGTGAGGCACGCACTCCACACTCCAGCAGAAGAGCACTTGTAAACCTTGCAAAAAGCAGTCCAGCCCTCTCTCCACCTTTTTACTTCCAAAAAATCTCCCTGCTCCAGAACCTGGGAGCCTATCTCAGCCTAGGTTTCAGGGTTTTTTGTCCTTTTTTAGTCCTGAGCTATCACTTTTACTAAGTTAATGCAGGAGTGACAATGTTCATAGTACATTCCACTGTCACCCCAGGCCAAATAGGGCTGGATATCATTAAGCAGACAAAAGCCTGCTAGCCTTAAAAAGCTCTAAGAAAGGAAAGCCTGGGTTATTGATGAAGAATGCAGCTTAAAAGGTCTTAAGTCTAACTGATTTTGCTTGGTACCTTTACTCTTATTCCACAAATAAAAGAAATATAGCACAAATCTCTACTTCCAACCACCTTAAATGTAAACTTCTATTTGTGAGTTGTGATATGGAGTGGAGAAGAGTCTGGGAAATGGAAAAGTCAAAACTCTACTGAAGCTATAGACAAACTTTTGAGCCAAACTCAACCTATCACTTGTCATACAGAATGCTACTCACCTGGTTTTCTGAGCCTAGATACCAGAGGGCCAAGTCTGGGGCATATCTTTATGTAACTCATACCATGGAGTGGCCTTTGGGAAAGGAAAGCCTGGACTATTGCTGAAGAATGCACTTTAAAAGGTTTTAATTCCAGAGCAGTGGATCTGAAGGCGTGGCGCAGATCAGAATTACCTACAAGGAAAATTTTAAAAACTCAGATTTCTGGGCCCTAACCTTAGAAGTTCTGATTTAATACTTCTGGAGTGTGGCCTGAAAATTTTTATTTCAAACAAGTTCAGATGATACTGATCGTCCAGGGTCTAAACTTTGAGAACCACTGGTCAGTCTAGGAAAAAGCAATATGGTCTCTGCTCTGAATTAGAGATGGTTATACCTTTATGTCAGAAGGAGTCTAATTTGGTGATCACTTCCTCGTATAAATCTTCTAGGAGCAGACTAGGCTTCTAATCACATCTCTCTTTCTATAATATTTATTTTCCCATTTAAGAAAAAGAGGGGGAAACAAAGAACGGTAATACAGAGAAAGAAGGTGGGCAACTCTCTTGCATAGCCAGAAACTCAGAGAGGAAGAGCTGGCTGGCTTATGAGAAGACACAAGTAGTTAGAGAATGCAAGCACTTCCTGAGGCAACACACATCTCAGTGCAACCTGAGGCTACAGCTTTCCGAGACAGCTCCAGGACTTCACCACCAGCCAGCAGCTCTCCTGAAACCTAGCTAATTTCCAGGTCTATGACTGCATCACTTTGGCAGCCTGTTGGTTTGCAGACATCTTTTAACAATCTTGAGCTTAGCCACGTAGAAGATGGCCTCTTTCCACCTTGGGTTTCTACAGTGTTTTTGGTGACTCCTAGGCAGCCAGCAGCTGATCTATTACTGTGGGCTCACATCCTTCACCAGCAAAGCAATCTGCTCCTGCAGCTGCCGCTCTCCTTCCCATGCTTTGCTCTGGCTTCGACACTTCAGCAGCTCCTCCTTATGGTCCTGGTGATGCATAGGGCAGTAGCTCTGTGGTTCACACAGCACCTGAAAGGTCAGGGACAGAGTAAGGGATTCTCTAGGTTCCTGAACTCTGCCTACAAAGTATAATAAAGAATCTGCCGGTAGTGGCTAAGAAGCAGCAGCAACTTCTTCTCAGAGGGCCCTGTAGGCCTAGGGAGTTGCATATTAAAGTTAGATCCCCCAAATATGGGCTCCCCCGTTGCCCAACATGCTCCATCCTTTACCGTATATTCTAGAAAGAAGTCTCTGTAGCCCCCTTTGAGGATATACAGCTCTGGGTAGTACAATGTGGGATACTGGTTCAGGGCCCTGTCCTCTTCTCTCAAAGAGCGGCACCTTTATAGAAAACCCAGAGATGTGTGGGGAGGAAAGAAGGTAGGTCAGGATTCCATGGTCCGCTCAGTGGGGAAGGGAAGAAAGAATAGACTATTGCTAACCCAATAAGGACCTCCAGATCTCATTATTTTTGCAAAACAAGTTTTATTAGCACCATTCTTTCTCTTTCCCTCCTCTGGTGTCTAATTCCCAATTTTTTTTCCTTCACTGCTCCAAACTTTTGAACTGTAGAAACTCCCTTCTTACTACTCCATACCATTCTTCAAGCCACAGTAGACAGCATTCATTCATTCATTCTCTGTCTGAGCTGGTCTGGGAAGGTTCCCTTATAAGTCCTAACTCAAGTTCAATTTCCATCACACGCCCTACCCATGTAGACACTCACATTCGGGGACCCCTTTCTGAGGAGAATTCACAGTGGAACACGATGATTATTCTTTTCTGGGCATCCAAAGGGACAATAGGTGTCTTCAGAAAAAAGTTACACAGTTCTTCCTGACTGTACAAGTTTAAAGCTCCCTGTAGAAGAATTTTAGTAAGTATTTCCTCAAGGGCCTCTGGACAGTGATGATACTTAGAAATAATTGGGATAACATATCAACTTGGGAAATTTGGGCCAGGAAGGCTAAACTATAAGCACTTGCAGAGAAGAGACGTAATTGTGTCTCTGTATATACTCCCAGGGCCTGGCTTTAAGCTTGGTATGTAGTAGTTGCTCAATAAATGCTCATAGAATTAAACTGCCTCAAGTGTAGGATCATTGTGAGGAATGTCTATGAGCAGTACATTGTTTGCAAAGTGCTTCTCAGTCCTCTAATTAATGTTTTTATTTCCATATAAGAACACTTGGCTCCTACAGAAAAGAGGGAGATTGGTCTAGAAGAGAAGGGGAAAGTAAATTGCTCAAGGTATACAGAACTAGAATAGAAATGAAGACTTACATCTTGATGTGCTCCAAATGTATAATGTCTGCCCTGGTTCTAGAGTTCACAGGACTCTTTGTCTACACTCTTCTCAGTAAAGAGCTATTTCCACCCCTTCTCTTGCTAATGTCCCCAATGCAACCTCACCTGGATGTGTCCTCCCAGGTACTCATACGGATAGCGGCAATCGATGATATAAAACTTCTCAATCAGACCCTGGAATTTCCCCAACAGTAAGGCAGCCACCTGCACACAAACTATGATTGAATACCCTGCTCACTGTCACTCTGAAGGAAAAAAGAGCAGTCACACCGTTTCTGATTTATACTCCCTTTAGTCACCCAAGATTCCACTGCATGCCCAGCCTCCAAAGTCCCCTCAGTGGTAGAGCCCCGTCCCACGTGAGAATGGAATAGGAAGTGGCCTTTTTAGAGAACCAAAATAGCTGGTATTGCCAGGATACGGGGAGGGGGGGGGTGCGGGATGGGGGTACATATTGAAGCTACTCATCTTGAGACAGACATGGCTAGAATCAGTCTTTCGAAGATACACAAATACTTCTACAGTGGCACAGGTAGCAGCCAAAGATCCAGAGTTTGCAAGAAGAGATGGGGAATGGTTCCCCACCCTCCGATATAAAGGAAGAAAGCAAGTCTTTTAGAAAAGAATATAGAAGAAAAAGTGTGATACCCAGAGGAGAAAATGTAAGCTACTTGTAGGAGTATAAATTTGTTCAGACTTTCTGGAGAGAACTTTGTAAATGCATATAAATATAAATGTAATTATACTTTGACTAAGCAATTTTTTTTCTAACATCTTAAGTAAACAGAAAAGTACAAAAAATGTGGCACAATACTACTCATCCCAGCATTGTTTTAGGTTATCAAAATATTACAGATAATGGGGGTTTGGTTAAATAAATTACACATGTCAGTATAACAGATTATATAGCCATTAAAAGGATAATATAGATCAATCTTTTTATTGATATAGAATGATGTTAACAATGTCTTACTAAGCTAATTGTACCACTACATATTTATCATGACTCTATTTTATAAAGCATATGCCAGAATAAAATCTGGAAGGCCATAAGGAGAAGATTATTTGTGGTTGTCTCTGATGGCAAGATTATGGGTAGGGTGACCAAGTAATTATTACACAAACTGGGGCACTTTTCAGAGTGAAAGAAAACACTATTAATAATTAACCTGTGCTAGTAGGCATAAATGATATAACATGTAAACCAGGATGTAAGGTCGCCCAAATCAAGTGATTTTTACTTTTTTCCTTTGGGAGTTTCTGCCTTTTTTTCTTTAATTTTCCTTTCCCTCCTTCCTTCCTTTCATTTTTTTCCCCTTTCATAAAAATTATATATCATTTGTTTAATTAAAAAAGGTAACAGAAGAATGGGATAAAAGTAAGTCCTTTAATATAGCTTCAGTTGAATTAGGAGCTTGTTAGTGAACACGGTGAAAGAAATACAATTGGAAGTGGGGATTTTAGGGACAGAACAGACCAGATGGTAGCTTATGTAACCAGTTACCATCTCCAGAAATCTGCTTACTGTTTCTGGGTTGATGTACTTCAGATCTTGGTGTCTCCCTGACACGGTTGGCAGCATACATACCTAGAATTACCAAGGAGCAGAAATAACAGTAAATTTTCTATACCCAAATTTGAGATGAAATGCCCATATATTGTCCTTCTTTCCAAATGACCTTTAAACCCTCAATGGTCTCTATAACGTGCATTCCATTTCTAAAAACTACAACAGTTCTATTTCTAAGAAATGATTCTAAGGAACTAATTAAAGATGTGTATAAAGTTTTAGATTTAGTTACAACTATGTCCATCTTGGTATACTTCACAAGGACAAATTATAAAATATTCTACAAGAAGGAATTTATCAAGAAATTATGGGCAGCCAAAAAATAAAATACTGTGCTATTAAAAATGACAAAATGATGAAGCAGAACTCTTTATTGACATGAAAAAAATGTTCCTGATATAATAAATGAAAAAAGAACCCCAAGAGATCACAATACAGAAAAAAGTCTTTGTGGAGAAACCAATAAATGTGTTTGTGTGTGTACATGTATGTTTGTGAGAACACAAAAGAAGTCTAGAGAGCACTGGCTTGTGTGGCTCAGTGGATTGAGAACCAAAAGGTTGCCAGTTCAATTTCCAGTAAGGGCACACGTCTGGGTTGTGGGCCAGGTCCTAGCTGGGGGCATGTGAGAGGCATCTCTCGCACATAGATGTTTCTCTCCCTTTCTTTCTCCCTCTCTTCCTTCTCTCTAAAAATAAATAAATAAAATCTTTAAAAAAGAAAAAAGAATCAGCTAATGAATCCATAAATAAGTGTAACAACAAATTGATGTTTCTCTCTCCTTTCCTTTCTCTCTAAAAATCAATCAATCGATAAACTTTTTTTTAAAAGTCTGGAGAGATATACATCAAGATGTTAGACTCATGGACAAAACCAAAGGGGAAGAGCTGAGGGAGGGAAGGTGGGAGGGGGCATGGGAAAGAGGTGGGGGGGAGGCAGAGACAAATGTATTTAAAAAGTAAATTAAAAAAAATTAAAAAATAAATAAATAATATAGAATTAGGAAAAAAAAAAGATGTTAAAAGCACTTATATTGTGATTGATAAGATTTGGGGTAGACTGCTGTTTCCTTGCTGATTTTCCAACTGGACGATATATGCACTAATGTCAATGGGGTGTTAAAATCCCCTACTATGATTGTAGCGCTGTCACTCTCTCCCTCTCTGTCCATCAAGATTTGCTTTACATATTTAGGTGCTCCTATGTTGGGTGCATAAATGTTTACAAGGGTTATAGCCTCTTGTTGGATTGTTCCCTTTATCATTATGTAATGCCCTTCTTTGTTACTATAGCTTTTGTGTTAAAGTCTATTTTGTCAGACACAAGTATTGCTATCACAGCGTTTTTCTCATTTCCATGAAAAAAAAGTTTAATTTGCATGAAATATCTTTTCCAACCCTTTACTTTTAGACTATTATGTTAAGTGAAATAAGCCAGACAGAGAAAGACAAGTACCAAATGATTTCACTTTAGTGGAATCTAATGAACAAAATAAACTAACAAACAAAATATAAACAGACTTGTAGATATAGAAAACTGACTTGGCAATTGTCGGGGGGGAGGGTTGGGGGGCTGGATGAAAAAGGTGAAGGGATTAAGCAAAACCAAACAAACAAACAAACAAAAACCCACAACCCAAAAACCTTATAGACAGACAACAATATGGTGAAAGGGGGTGGGGGGAGGTAGAAGAGGATAAAGGGGGATAAATGGTGATGGAAGGAGACTTGGGGTGGTGAACACACAATACCACATAGAGATGATGTATTATAGAATTGTACACCTGAAACCTATATAATTTTATTAACAAATGTCACTCCAATTCATTAAAAATTTAGTATTTCTAACCAATGTCATTAGCAGACTATGACTTTCAGGTTATTTCAGATATGAGTTCATTCTTTGCATCAAAAGAATTCAACAGAGATCTGCGCAGAGCCAAACAAACTTTCTGCACCTTTTTCTTCTTTGGAGGGCAGGGGGTGGACAAAAAAACAAAAATGACAATACTAGAAAAAAAGCAAAACAAAAATAAGAACAACATTTTCCCAGGCAACTAATTTGCTATATAGAGACAAATAAGAGAAGAAATACTTCTAAGGTTTTAAGAAATGTTTTGGCAGTTTGGGAAATAAGTACTTTCTAAAGATCAATTAGTTCTTCAGGGATTAATAGCCATGACTTTTGTATTGGGTAAAGCAATATAGTACATGATACGTACCATTGTCTATGTATAATATGACAGTAAAGTAGTCCCACATTTAGAAGCTTAAAATTACAGAGAAGAAATTAACATTCCATTTCACTATGAATATAAAAATATGGTAGTAGTTTGTAGATTCTCCCAAAACTATAACACATGTAAGTAACTAGTTAGTTGCTCTATTTCTACTGTTTCTAGCAATATATCATTTTTCACAAGTTATATATTCAATGAAGGAATAAAGGAAGATGGTGATTAAGGGTTGCCCACAGGACAAAAATGGAAATGTTTCATTAAGTTAAAGTAATGGTAATAAAAGGGATAGCCTTCGAATGCCCAGGATAGCAGATGCATTTTCATCTACTGAGATTAGTTTTATGTGGCTAATGGAATAACATTTGCTGGTAAACAATAACAACAAAAAAATAAGGACACAAATTCAAAGAAAGATCATCGTAATAACTTGGTGATTAAACAACTGAAAATGTTTGCTTGATTTGTCTTGAAGAAACTTATCTCTTAACTGCTATCTTTTAGTTTTGATTTGTTTAACTCCAAATATATAAAAGTTACTTTGTTTTTGGTTTCTTTAAAAAAAAACAAACAAACCAAAAAAAAAAACCCCCTGGCTGGTGTGGCTCAGTGGAGTGAGCACCCGTCTGCAAATCAAAAGGTTGCCAGTTTGATTCCTAGTCAGGGCACATGCCTGGGTTGTGGGCCAGGTCCCCAGTTGGGGGCATGTGAGAGGCAATTATTAGAAGTTTCTCTCCATCTCTTTCTCCTCCACTTACCTTCTCTTTCTCTCTCTAAAAAAAAAAAAAAAAAAGGGGGATTAATAAAAAAAGATCTGGTATAGATTTCATTTTCTACCTTTTCTGTAATGACCAAGTATTATTTATATAATTTCAAAAGATAGTTTTAAAAAGAAAAAAGGTAATAAGCCTCATACTTTCCCCACTGTTCTGGATTTTCCCAGACTGAATAGGAATACTTTCTCACTGGAAAGGCTTAGGGCTTAGATCTACCACTACAGCACCTTCAGGTTATCAGAGTGTATTTGGTGAGGATGAATAATTATACCTAGTGTTCTCTGCAAGCAGAGTAGAAAAGATTCAGACCCAAAATGACTCATTGAAATATAGGAAAGGTGTACCCACACTCACCTTGGAGAAATCACCAGTCAGATACCCCTGGTTAGAATCTTCCTCCAGCATCTGAGTGATATTAATGTCACAGAGACAGATTGTTTTCTTTAGATGTAAGCCCTGAAAATGACATCCCAAATTCTCATGTTAAATGTTTAAAAATCAGGGGATGAAAGAAGTGGAGAATCATTTAAAAAATGCATACCCTAATTGCTTCTCAGTCTTTTGACTAAAATCAAGTGTAAAAATTGCATACCCTTTGTTCTAGTAATTCTACTTGTTCTTAAGGAAATAAGGACATGCAAAAAAAAAATTGGTTATAAAGATGGATATTCCAGCATGTTTATAATAGAAAAAAATTACTAATAAATTACATGTTCAATAACAAAGTCTTGGTTAAACAAATCATATACCATATATTAAAGATTACTATTATGCAATAAAATTAAGTTGTAGATTAAGTTTATTGACATGAAAATAAGTTCATGATATCATTAAGTATGTTAGAAAAATGCTTTGTAATACCACTTTAATAAAAGAAAAATAATTGTATAGAAAAGTGTCTGAAAAAACTTACATCAAGTGTTAACAGTAATAATCTCTGGCCTGTGGGACTATGGGCATTTCCAACAGCTTCTTTTTGTTTATTTGAGTGTTCTATACTATCATATATTGATTTTATAAAATAGCCAAATGTATTTATTTTTCTTTTTTTAAGGAAGGCTATACATTGGATACTGAGAAGGCATAACCATTTCCTCATGGCCTAAACACTCCTCAGCACACACAGGCTCGTTACTCTCTGAATCACTCAATCAACAATCTTCATGCTGCCACGTCTTAGAGTCACTTCTTTAGCCATAATGCATGTATCTTTCTGAACCTCAGAGGTTTCCATTGAGTTGGTTAATCCCTTCTTCCTTGGCTTCAATGACAAAAACTTCTAGTTTTTTAGTTTATTTCCAACAGAGATAACCCTTATACTAAAAGAACATGATGCTTCTACCTCTCTGTTGCTCCTTCTCAGTCTTCTTTGTTGGGCCTCCTCACCTATCAAATCTCCAACAGATGCTGGATTCATCAGGGCTAGGTCCTGGTCCTTTTTTACCTCTTCACTCTTGTCGTAGGTGATGTTTTTTTCCACTCATAAATTTGAATTTCTCCTCTAGGCCAATGACTCTCAAATTCCTGTCTCTAGTCAAGACCTCTGCTTTTACATCCAGACTTCCACATCCACATACCTGCTTAACAATTTTTGAGTACATACTAGGTAATAGTGCAGTGAATAAGAGAGTAGAAGAGACAGACAAATAAATATATTCTATATTTGTATGTAGTGATAAATGCTTTAAGTAAAAAATAAAGAAGGATAAAAACATTTTTTAAATATTAGGGTTAGAAAGCTAATTAGCAAAGAACTTTCTGATCAGGTGACATACGTGGGAAATGAGACTGAAATGAGGGAGAAAATCATGTGTTGCCTACAGGGAGAATGTTCCAGGCTGAAGGAAAAACAAATGCAAAGACCCTGGTAAGAATGGCAAGGCCAAGGATGGCTCCATTTAGCACAGTACTATTAGCTCAAAAACTAAATTGAAGCAATGTTATAAACCATCTAGAGCCAGGGGTGTCCAATCTTTTGGCATCTCTGGGCCGCACTGGAAGAAGTGTTGTCTTTGGCCACACATTAACTACACAAACACTAGCCCTGGCTAGTATGGTTCAGCATATTGAGTGCCAGCCTGTGGATGAGGGGGTCGCTGGTTCAATTCCCAGTCAGGACACATGCCTGGGTTGTATACCAGGTCCCCAGTTGGGGGCATGTGATCTCTCATACACTGATGTTTCTCTCCCTTTCTTCCTCCCTTCCCGTCTCTCTAAAAGTAAATAAATAAAATCTTTAAAAAAAATACACAAACACTAATGAAAATTGATGAGCCAAAAAAAGGTTTTAAGTAAATTTATGATTTTGTGTTGGGTCATTCATAGCCATCCTGGGCCACATGTGGCCCACAGGCCGTGGTTTGAACACCCAATCTAGACCTAACAGACATTGATAAAACACTGTACTCAACAACAATAGAATATGTATTTCTCAAATATACATGGAGCATTCCCCAGGATAAAAATAAGCCTCAATAACTTTTAAAGTGTTGACATCATACAAAGTATGTTCTCTGACTGCAATGGAATAATTAGAAATTAATTGCAGGGAAAAAAATCTGGAAAATTTGGAAATATATGGAAATTAAACAACAAACTCCTAAATAATCAGTGGGTTGACAAAGATCATAATGGAAATTAGAAAATACTTTACTTTGAGATAAATGAAAATTTAGACACAACACACCAAATCTTATGATATGCAGCTAAAGCAGTGTTTAGATAAAAATGTATAGCTGCAAATGCTTAAAATAAAGAAGAAAGATCTCAAGTCAATGAACTAAGCTTCCACCAAAGGAGAAACTAAATCTAAGCAAGCAGAGGGAGGAAATAAGAAAGATTAGAGTAAACTGAGTGAAGTAGAGAATAGAAAAACAATAAATAAAAAACAAGAGTTGGTTCTTTGAAAAGATCAACAAAATTGATAAACCTTTTAGCTAGACTGACCAGAAAAAAAAAAGAGATGACTCAAATTACTAAAAACAGCAATGAAAGAGAGGACATTGCTACCAACCTTTGAAAAACAATAAAAAGATAATAAGGGAATACTATGAACAACTATATGACAATAAGTGAGAAAACTAGATTAAATGGACGAATTCCTAAAAAGACAAAAACTACTGAAACTGACTCAAGGAACAGAAAATCTGACTACACCTACAAAAAGAGACTGAATTAGTAATTAAAAAATTTTCCACAAAGAAAAGCCCAGGCCCAGATGGCTTCAGTGGTGAATTTTGCCTAACATTTAAATAAAGAAATAAAAACCAATTCTACACAAACCCTTTCAAAAACCTGAAAAAGAGAATTCTTTCCAAATGATGACATCATTACATTGATACCAATACCTAAGACATTACAAGGAAAATAAAACATTAAAGATCACTGTGTCTCCTGAACATAAATACAAAGCTTCTCAACAAAATTTTAGCAAATCAAATCTAAAATATATATATAAAGAATAATATACCATGACCAAATAAGGTTATCACAGGAACACAAGGTTGTTTTACCATTCAAAAATCAATGTATTCACCATATTAACAGGTTAAAAAAAGGAAACTCATATGATTATCTTAAGAGATGCAAAGTATTTGATAACATCTAGTATCTGTTCCTGCCAAAATTTCTCAGCAAACTAAGAATAAAAGGGAGCTTTCCTCAACCTGGTAAGTGGCATCTCAAGAAACCTATAAAAATACCATACTCAATGGATTAAAAACTGGATGCTTTTCCTGTTAGATAGGGTACAAGGCAAGGAGTTCTCAATAATTTTAAGACTGTAACACTTGAAACCAATACAAAACAAAACTGAAAGAAAAGAAGAAGATTGTAAAGCATTCTTGATATAAAAAAAGACTAAGAACCATTAATCTAGGAGAAAGAAGAAAATTGATAATATAGGAGAAAGAATACTGCAGGAGCAGACAAGATGTTTCCACCTTGAGTCAGAGTTTTTGCAGTCTTTACAATGGCAGACACGACCCTACTTGATCTGTCCTCCTGCTGCCTACCCTCTGCCCTCATCTGCACACCGCCCTTGCTCACTTTGCTCCAGCCACAACAGCCTATTTGCTATTCCATGAACATGCCAAACATGCTCCCACCCTAGGGGCATTGCACTTGCTTTACCTTCCACCTAGAATAACTTACTCTTCTTGATATGTTTGTTCAGCCCCCACTGCTTCAGATGTCCATTCAAGTGCCATTCTCAGAGAATTCTATCTATGCGACATATCAGCTCCCAACTCTATGCCATCTCAATCTAGGCACTCACTATTCTCCTTATGCTGCTTTTTACCATCTTCCATATTATAAATGTTATTTGCTATTCATCTGTTTCCTACTGATTAGAATGTATGCTCCGTGGGAGCAGGGATTTTTTGGTGCTGTTGAGGTCACTACCTTATCCCTAGTGTTAAGTGAATGAATTAATAGGTATATTCCATCCATTACCATTTTCACTTACACCAGATTACACTGATGGTGATCTATTCAAAGTACCAACTAGAACCTCTCACCCACTGGTAAGAAGAGTCCTATAGAGACCTGACACCCTATCAGTCAGGTAGCTATTAGAGTGTAGAGACTATGTCTTCTTGATCTCTGCAGACCTACCACTTAGTACAGTGACTGCAACATATTAGATATGCAGTATTCTTCATTTAAGAATGAATGGAAAATGCAAAGATACCATCAGAGAGCACTGTCCCTTGGCCTCTTCTTGATCTTCCAGGGAAAACTCCATCAATTCATCTGAAATCTCCTCTGTCTGGTCTTTTTCTAGTTTTGGGTTTTTATCCAATTTTGGAACTGTAGTGATGGGACTGCCCAGATATTTCATTTTACTTTTCACCAAGTTTCCATTGTCCTGCCAAGAATATTGACAATATTATAAGTTATCCATGATGCTTACCTTACACCATATAAAAATTAACTCAAAATGAATCAAAGACCTAAATGTAAAAGCTAAAACTATAAAACTCTTACAAGAAAACATAGGGGGAAAGCTTCATGATATTGGATTTGGCAAAGATTTATGGGATATGACATAAAAGCACATTTTTCTTTTAAAAATGGATAAACTGAATTTCATCAAAATTTAAAACTTTTGCATATCAAAGAATAGTATCAAGAAAGTGAAAAGGCAACCACAAAATGGGAGATTCTGCCATTATCATATATCTGCAAATCGTGTATCTGATTGGGGGGGGGTGTGTGTGTGTGTGTGTGTGTGTGTGTGTGTGTGTGTGTATGATGTTATGAGGTCTGTCTAGTAGAAGTCCAGCCATTGTTAATATAAGGAGATCAGGTTACATGCCATCAATGTAACCTGGCAGCCAAGGAGAGTGGACTAGAAAACACAGGCATGAACAATGACAGCTTCACGGTACTAGTCAATGGGGGCAGTAGACAGAGTTGCATGAGCACGTGTGCTATGTGGCTGTTGAATTCAAAATGACTAAGTGAGTAGAGCAATGAATCTGCATCAAATTTTGAGTTAAGTTTGAACATTGTTTCACATAAACAATCTGGATGCTTCAGAAGGCTTTCAATGAGTGCAGTGCAAATAAGAGCATGGCACAAACACTTCAAAGGTGGCTGAGAATCTGTTGAAAGTGATCCATTTTCTGGAAGGCCTGCAAAAAGCAGAACATATGAGAATGTTGAATGTTAATGGGCTGCAATCAACAAAAATCAGCAACTGACAGTGCAAGAACTAGAAGCTGATCTGGGGATTCCAAAGATTACTGTGTCTGAGACCTTGACACAGGATCTTGGCATGAAATGTGTTGTGGCAAAATTTGTTCTGCGGCTTCTGCTACCAGAGCAGAAGGAACATCGTGCTGCAGTTGCTAATGACTTGATTCAAACTGCTACGAATGAACCATATTTCCTCAAGAAGGTCAAAACCAGAGATGAATCATGGGTCTACAGCTATGCTCTGCAAACGAAGGCCCAGTCGTCCCAACTGAAGTCACCTGGTTCTCCATGCCTGTAGAAGGCAAGGCAAAGTGGCAGCAAGATCAAGACCATGTTAACTCTGTTTTATGATTGGGAAGGTGTTGTCCATCACGAGTACACCCCTCTAGGCCAAACAATAAATAAGGAGTACTACTTCAATGTTATTCTTCATTGAGAGATGCAATATAACAAAAAAGAGCTGCAGCTATGGGCAACTGGTGATTGGCAGCTACATCACAACAATGTACCAGCTCATGCAGCATGCCTCATGCAGAGTTTTTTTGCAAAACATCAAATCACCCAAGTGACTCAGTCCCCTACAGCCCAGATTTGGCACCTTGTGACTTCTGGCTTTTTCCAAAACTAAAATCACCTTTGAAAGGGAAGCGATTTCAGACCGTCAATGACATTCAGGGAAATATAATGGGGCAGCTGATGGCAACTGGGAGAACTACGTGAGGTCCCAAGGTGCCTACTTTGAAGGTAACTGAGGCACCATTGTCCTATGTACAATGCTTCTTGTATCTTCTTCAATAAATGTCTCGTTCATAGTGCATGGCTGGATACTTTCTGGACAGAGGGGTGTGTGTGTGTGTGTGTGTGTGTCCGATAACAGAACAAGCAGGACTTGAATAAAGATTTGTCCAAAGATAATATATAAATGGCCAATTAGTACATGAAAAAATGAACAACTTGTCATTCAGGAAATGCAAATCAAAACCACAGTGAGATACTTCTTACTCATTAGGATAGCTATTATATTTTTTAAAAGATAGTAACAAGTATTGTCAAGGATATGGAGAAATCGGAATTCTTCTATATTGCTGTGAGACATGTCAAATGGTACAGTTGCTATGGATAACAGTATGGCAGTTCTCCAAAAAATTAAACAAGAAATTACCAAATGATCCAGCTATTCCGTTTCTGAGTATATACCCCAAAAAACTGAAAGCACGGATTTGAACAGATAGTTGTATACCAATGTTCATAGCAGCAGTAGTCATAGTAAGTCATAATAAAGGTGGGAATAGCACAAAAGCCCATCACAAATTAAAGAATAAACAAGATGTAGATATATACATAAGATACATGTTACAAACATGGATGAACGTTGAAGACGTTATGCTAAGTGAAATAAACGAGACAGAAAAGGAAAAATGTTATATGATTCCACTTACAGAAAGTACCTAGTGTAGCTAAATTCATGGGGCAGAAAGTAGACTAGAAGCTACCAGAGACTGGGGGAAAAGAGGAATGAGTTACTGTTTAATGGGTAGAGTGCTTCTATGTTGAATAATGAAAAAATTCTGGAAATGGACAGCGATGATGGTTGTACAACATTTTGAATGTACTCAGTGCCCCTGGATTGTATATTTAAATACTATTAAAATGGTAAATTTAATGTTATATATATTTTACCACTTAAAAAAAAATCACACATAAAAAAGACTATTCAGTAATTTACCATGCTCCAAGTCTTCCCTTCTACCAGGAAATAAAAAGTCTGAAACATGATCAACTTTATCTACCTAGGATGGGATATGTTAAAATGGCCTTCCCATAGGGTTGAGATTAGAATCCAATCTCTGGAGTATCTACTAAAAGCAAGTGAATGTCTGGGTAACTTAAGACTCTAGTAGCTAAGCGGACAAAGGACACAATCATTCACTAGTGGAAATATACATGGCTAATATTCACATGAAATCACTAATAATTAGCTTTATAAAACATTTTACTCAATTAGCAATTTTTAAAAACAATAATTTACCCACATGAGCTATAAATTGCTCATAAAATTGTAATTTTTTTTAATTTTAAAAAAGATTTTATTTATTTACTTTTAGAGAGGGAAACATTGATGTGCAAGAGATACATCACTGGTTGTCTCTCACACACCCTTAACTGGGGACCTGGACCACAACCCAGGCATGTGCCCTGACTGGGGATTGAACCAGGGAACTTTCTCTGCAGGATAGCACTGAATCCACTGAGCCACACTAGCCAGGGCAAAGTTTTAAATTCTTATAACTGTTTTGAGAGGAATTTGGCAATATGTATCAAAAATCTTTAAAATATTTATACCCTTGCCCTGGTTGGTATGGCTCAGTGGGTTGCGTGCCAGACTGTGAACTGAAGGGTCACTGGTTTGATTCCCAGTCAAGGGCATATGCCTGGGCTTCAGGCCAGGTCCCCACTTAGGGGTGTGCAAGAGGCAGCTGGGTGATGTTTCTCTCATACACAGATGTTTCTCTCCTCTTTTCTCCCTCCCTTTTCTGCTCTCTAAAAAAAAATAAAATCTTAATTAAAAAATATTTATACCCTTTAACCTAGTAATTATAATTCTTGGTACCAATCCTAAGGAAAAAAATCTGAAACACAGGCAAAGATCTATGCTCAAGAACTTACATGATAGCATTATTTATAAAATCAAAACTTAGATATCACTAAAAACAATAGGGAAGTACAGACATAAAGTATGGTCCATTAATTAGAATAAAAACATTCATTAAAAATGTTTTAAAAAATATTGTTTTTATTCACAGTAGCCATGGAAACAACTTAAATGTCCTTCAATGGATGTCTGGATAAAGAAGATGTGGTGTGTACACACACACACACACACACACACACAGGAATATTACTCAGCCATAAAAAAGAAGAAATATTGCCATTTTCAACAACATGGATGGATATTGAGAGTATTAAGCTCAATGAAATAAATCAGATGGAAATAACAAAAAATGGTATGAATTCACTCATATGAAGGATGAAACACAAAAAACAACAAACTGGCCCCTGGCTGGAGAGTTCAGGTTGGTTAGTGTTGTCTTGATATACCAAGGTTGTGAGTTCAGTCCCTGACAGGGCACATACAAGAATCAACCAATGAATGCATAAATAAGTGAAATGACAGACTGATGTCTTTCTCTCTCAAGTTTATAAATAAAAAAAATTTTTTTGAGCAAAGGAAGATTAAAAGAACAGCATTAAATTTTTTTAAAAAGCTGATTAGGATAGCCAAAAACATGGGCATAACGTAGTTAATGTGAGAAAAGGAAAACAGCAATCTTTTATATTATACTGACCTGGAGGAAAGAATGGGGGGCAGGGAAAAAATGGCTAGAAAAAGAGATTAGCACGTTGGCCAGGTAGCTTAGTTAGAGAATTGTCCCAACATGCCAAGGTTGCAGGTTCTATCCCTGGTCAGGACACATACAAGAATCAGCCAATGAATATACAGAAATAACCTAAACAACAAATTGGTGTCTCTGTCTCTCTCTTCCTTCCTCTCTCTCTCTAAAAGCAATTAAAAAGAGAGATTATTTAGAAAATTATCTTAGTGATAAGGCAGCTCTGGAGAAGTCAGTTTCCACGTGGGACTCAAGGATGGCCTGAAGCTCAGAGGAAAAAGGACCATGGCTTTCTCTGAATAGGGACTAAAAAGCTAGGTTAAAAGAGAAATAAGAAATTAAGAACTCTAGCCCTGGCCTGTGGGGCTTAGTTGGTTGGGCATCGTGCTGCAAACTGAAAGGTTGAAGGTTTGATTCCTTGTCGAGCACATGCCTGGGTTGCAGGTTCAGTCCCTGGTGGGGACACATACAAAAGGCAACCAACTGTTTCTTACATTAATGTTTCTTTCCCTCTCTTCCTCACTTCCCTGCTCTATAAAAAATAAAAACACAGAAAAAGAAATTAAGAACTCTAGACTTGTATGTGAAGTCATGCAAATAGTCTGTGAACTAGTTATTTACATTATTCCTACTTTTTAAAAAAAAGTCCTAAAGTCCTTAAACAACATTAACAGATATTTTTGTCCTTAAACCAATAAACTGAACATGAGTATAATCATGACCTACTGTGCAAGACTTGGAGCTAGGTTTCTGCTCTAGGGTCAAACCTTAAAGAGAAAAACAGAAAACAAACCATAAAGAAGTTTTTTTCCTATAATGATACTATTCGTTTGTCTAGCATACTGAGGCATAATGAGCTTGAGGTCTCATGATACCAATGACTTGCTCTGCTCAAAGGAATACAATTGCTAATGTATCTAGGTTTCCATTAGACACTCACATTTTCTTTGTTTGTGGATGAGGTACACACTGCATCTTTCTTCCTGCTGCCATGATCCAAAGCATTCGGTGTGCTACAAAGCAGTTGTGCCTACAAGAGATGGTTTTCCGAGAACATTCAGCAACCCCCAGCCACAGGTGAGTTGGAAACCCTGTCTTCCACCTGAGAAACAAAGCCAAACCTAAGAAAGGGGATCTACTCACTGGGCTGCATTTTATAAGGTGCTGGTGATGATTTCTGCAAATCAAAAAATAAAAAAAAATAAAAAAAATTACTAGTCAGTTTAGCCCCAAATACTGTTTGGTTATTCACCAGTGGCTTGGAGCATGCCAACTTTTCCTTTCTTGCATTCTAGGATCCCTATAACTAGTTGATATGTCTATTCCAATAACAGTATGTAGGGGACTCTCTGTGGTAAATATTAAGATTTTGAGTGACATTCTGAAGATAAAGCCCTTACTTTTTATTTGCATACATATATATATAACCATATGTTTACATAGATATGCATAAAAGATGACGATTTTGTCCTACATCTTATACAGACACTAATTTTCCATCATTGACTACTGAGAACTAATATTTATTTATTTTTAATAAATTTCTATCCCCCTTCCCAGGAGTTCATTTGGTCTACATAGGTTAGGGCATTTTAAGCAATTCAAAGAAAGTTCAAACAATACAAAATAAATTTTCACATGTATTGATATCAATGTAGTCATTGAAAGCCTTCCCTAGTGTACTAAAGTGTACCTAATTCAACTAAATATTGAAGGATAAAGTTCTAAGAAGATTAAAACAGTCAAAGAGAAAACTTACAGTAAGTTTAAGAAGTTGAGTTAAAATTATTTTTCATTCATTGAGTATTCCCTGACCGAACACTTAAAGATCTCCAACGAAGGATCTTCATTGGTAATAATATTCATTTTTTAAAAAATTAATCTTTACTGTATTTTTTTTTAACGTTACCTTTTAGTCCCCTTATACCCTTCTCCCCCCAGCAATCACCACACTCTTGTCCATGTCCATGTGTACTTTTTCCTTTTTGTTCAATCCCTCCACTCGCTAACCACCGCCCCCCCTTCACAACTGTCATCCTGCTCTCCATCTATCAAGTCCATCAATAAATATTCTAAAATACTTTGGCAGGTGCTAAGGATTAAATGAAAATTTAATCCTTACAATAGCTGTTTATAAGAAATACTATTATCTCCATTAACGTTTTTCTTTATTATTAATGAAGAAATTGAGGTGCAGTGAGGTTAAGAAACCTGTCAGAGTCACAGCTGGTGAGGTAGAAAGCCACTGGAATCTAGACACACTGATTCTACAGCCTACACTAGGCGCATTTAAGTACTAAGATACAGCGCTACTCACATGCAGGTAACAGCCTACGCCTAAGTGCAGTATGTACTATTTTTAACAATATTGCTGATCGTGTGTGATGGTTAAAATAAATAGCCTTCATTTTCACAACACTCAGAAAAACTTAAAAACCTTTCAGGGGAAGGACTCCAAGTCCATATTACCCAAAGTGAAATGTTCTATACTTGCAGAGTTTACATAGGATAAAATCCTGTGCCAGTGCTGAAAGGCTTTAGCATGAGGTTAGTTCAGCAAAGGAACTTACGTCCGAGCTAACTGTATTTCCTGAGATCCTGAAGAATCCAAAGGACCTGCAATCAGATATGAGGTTATTCTTGTCTATGCATCATGTCTTTCCTTCCAATTTTCTTCATTGCCATATTAATTTCAAAGCTGACCTTCTAAACACAAAAGGTCTTGATAGGTACCAATTTCATGGTACAAAGTAAAAGTTAATAGAAAGTTAAGAATTTACATGTGTCACTGAAAGACAAAATGCTGGGAAACAAAGCCCTGGTTGGTATGACTCAGTGGATTGAGGGCCAGCCTGCGAACCGAAAGGTGGCCAGTATGATTCTCAGTCCCGGCACGTGCCTGGGTTGAGGGCCAGGTCCCCAGTTATGCCAGAGGCAATCAATCAACATATCTCCAGTAACAAACTATAGAAATGATCCCTGAAAGTATAGTCTTTATGTCTCATATATTTATGTTTCTCTCTCTCTCTCCCTCCCTCCTTTCCCCTTTCTCTGAAGGTGAATAAAATCTTAAAAAAAAAACCCAAAACCTACAGAGATTTATTTCATGAATGGAAGAGAATGCTTATCAATCAGGAAATTTGAAATTAGAACAAATACTAAAATGATTAACTAGTAAAACATAGGGCTTAGGCCCTATAGAAACACAAGAATTAGATGACAAAGTATTTATTTATGTTGGTTTCTTTGACTCTGCTGATAAGAGAGTAGGTCATAAAACTTCTCATCTTAACTACCACTTTCATTCCCATCATTCAGTCAATTTCAATTCATACCATCAATCAGTCAACAAAATATCCCTTCCTGTCTAAAATTTTCAAATGCAAAGTGGCCCTTGCTGGTATAGCTCAGTGGACTGAGCATTACCCTGGGAACCAAGTCTGAGTCGCAGGTTTAAGTCCTGGTCAGGGCACATTGAGTGCTGGCCTGCGAACGGAAAAGTTGCTGGTTCAATTCCCAGTCAGGGCACATGCTTGGGTTGTGGGCCAGGTCCCCAGTTGAGGGCATGTGAGAGGCAAATGACTGATGTTTCTCTTGCATATCATGTTTCTGTCCCTCTCTGAAAATAAATAAATAAAATCTTAATTGCAAAGTGACTACCATTAATTATTTTTCTCTTCCCATTGGCTTTATCATTCTCCTCAAAAATCCTATTGGTACCAAGAGAATTCCAACTTCAAGGCTCTCTACCTACTTTTTACCACCTTCCATGTCCATCTTACTACCCTGACCTCACCCTTAACCGTTATTCTTTCCTGGCCCTGGCCAGGTAGCTCCACTGGTTAGAACATGGTCCAGATACTCAAGGTTGCAAGTTCAATCCCCAGTCAGGACATATACAGGAAGAAATAAATGAATGAATGGAGAAGTGGAACAACAAAATTGATGTTTTTCTCTCTCTCAAATCAATAAATTAAAATTAAGAAAAAGTTATTTCTTTCTTTGCAGCCTTTACCTCCCTTCTCCCTACCAGTTCCGTCAAGGTCTGCAGGAGTGGTAAGCTGAGTGGCAGACATCTCCCCACTGCTAAGATTCGAAAGATCAAGGCAACGTTTTGGGGTTCCTCTGTTGAGACATAACAGTACATCAATATTCTCGTTAGGATGTAATATTCGTAAAAGAAAAAGATCACGTTATCCTCAATTTGAAACACCCCTCAATGATTATCACATAATCTGAACAGTGTCCAAATAAATCCAGTTGCTTTTAGAAACATTTCAGATTATGTTAAGAAAAATCTCCCACTTTTTCTCTTCTCCAATAATCTGTACCTAATTTTCTCCTCACCAACATCCTGAGACAGTAGGGTTGTTTGTTGTTTTTTATTTTTAAATTGAGAACCAAAGTTTACAGACCAAGGTGGGTCTTGACCCCACATCTTCTGCTCTGTACACCGTGAGCACACTAATTTGATTTCTCTCTGAAGTCTCTAATACTTCACAAGTCTCTAACTCTCCAACTTTGCTAGCTGAGGCATTAGGGCATGGCATAGCCAAAATTTAAAGTGCAATTACACTAATATTAAAATTAATATTAATAAAGTCCCTGGCTGGTGTGGCACAGTAGATTGAGTGCTGGCCTGCAAATGGAAAAGTCGCTGGTTCGATTCCCAGTCAGGGCACATGCCTGGGACACAGGCCAGGTCCCCGGTTGGGGGTGTGTGAGAGGAAACCTATCCATAGATCGGTATCTCGCACACATCGGTGTTTCTCTTCCTCTCTTTCTCCCTCGTTTCCCCTCTATCTAAAAATGAATCAATAAAATCTTTAAAGGTTTTTCTAAATACTAATAAAGTGACCAACTCATATAATGCAATAGTTTTCAAAGACTTTTCCCACACATCACATTTGATTCTCACAAGATTCTAATAAATAGGAAGAGATTATTCCTATGTCACAGAAAAGAAGCCTGAATATCAAAAGGGTCACACAGTCCAGGGCTAAGACTTAAACTTATATCTTTAAGCCAGGGTAATTTTTTTTTTTTTAACTCAAAACTGTTTAAAAAAGCAAAGGAGATGAGGCATGAAATGTGGATTTACCCAGACAAAATGCTCAGGTTTGCAGAATCACCAAAGAGTTTGTTCACCGGCGTTCTTGGGAGATCTGGACACACAGTAAAGGAAGTGTCTCTCTCCAAGAGCAGATTTAATATCTTCCTCTGACGGGACCTAAAACTGGGTCCTGGGCCAAGACTTCCCTCCTCCTCTCTTGCGGATGAATTGAGTTCTGCAGACATAGTCTCCAAGTACTTACTAAGAAAAAAATAAAACCTAGCTAAGAGGAGAACGTCATCTATACAGGCCCATCACAGATCGTCCAGCTTTCACAACCTCCTCCACCCTTCCCAGTCGCGGCCACGGGGATCGGTACTGGGGGACGGGCACCCGCAAACGGTGAATCAGTCATCACTTGGCTTGACGGTTAAATCACACTGGCCTGAAGAGGCCTGGCCTTTTCGTCGGAACGTGAACTTACCAAGAGGAAACCCCAGACCTTTAAAGCAAAAATGAAAAGAAGGCTTTGACTTGTTCAGTACCACACAGCTCGTGACTCCTGACCCGAAAGAACTCAGATCTCTTAACTCGCGACAATGCCGACCTCAGAGGCCCTGACCTTCTGTTTGTGGGGCTCCGACTGGCCCCTGAGGGGAAATGGGTCTCCGCGATTCTGACAGATGACTCCGGTCTTACCTCAGGTTTGAGTCTGAGATTTACCTTCAGGAGAAAGGGCAGTGGATGGGGGTCAGCCACAGTAAAGACCTGAGCAGAATTAAAGGAATTCTGGGAAAAGGAGGTAATTAACCACACTGCAATTCTACTTCTCGACTGGATAGGCCGGAGTCAGGATTTTCCGCTTCTCTCCTCAGGGCCTCAGAGCAGGAATATCAACAGCCACAGGCCTTGACCATTCAAACCTTCCGCCCGCCCAATAACCTATCCTGCTCTCCTCTAAGATGAGTTAACCAATCTTCATGCGCCCGCCCAGAACCCCCTCAGCCAATCGTTTGGCTCATCCAGCACTGGGGGCTTGAGCTTACTCTGAGAGGAGCGCAATTTGCCCCGCCCCACAGCCAGAGCAGGATGCCGATTGGCCCACCAGCCTTGGGCAAGCCGTTTAATAAGCCCCGCCCCACACGAGCCTGGTGCACCATTGGCTTTCCCTGTGGCCAATCGCCTCACCCTCCCGGATCTTTCCCTGCGCTCTGCCCCTTCGACCCCGGGAGATTTAAATTGCACCTCGCTAGGGACGTCCTGTCCTTCTGTTAGTACCTGGAGGAATTAACCTGGATCGTAGGATGTTTTAGAGGTTTCTTTTTCCTTGATTCTTTCTCGTGTATTATACAGACTTTTACCTCTTAGTTTGCTAGCCTTCCACTGGAGATGGAACATTTGCCTTGGGTGTGGCGGATGTTGGGGCGAGACAGGTGTGTGTATTTATGCTAAGCAGCATTGGCCCGTTCCAAGAGTTTTCCTAGTAAGATCTCCATTTTAGTACGCAGCATTTCTAAGACGCTATATGATTAAAGGAAATTTCTTTTCAGGGAAAGGAGGGGAGCTGAATTATCTCTTTGGCATAATCCTTATCACAATCCAAAGGATCTCAAAAATGGGGTTGTTTATGGAAATTTGAGCATTAATTAGGTGATAAATAGAATTTATTCTTAATTTGGGGGACTTGCTTTTAAGTAATCCTGTGGAGTGGTGGTGGGTAGAGGTGAAACAAGGTTGGCCATGAGTATTGGGTGATGGGTAAACTGGGGGTCTATTATATCAGTGCTCTCAAAATTTAATCTGCATACTAATCACCTGGGAATCTTGTTAAAATGCAGATTCTGATTCAGTAGGTGTGGGTTGGGGCCTAAGATTCTTTACTTTTTTTTTTTTTTTTTTTAAGATTCTTTACTATTAAAAAGCTCCCAGCTGATGCTTTGAGTACTATACTTTGAGTAGCAAAACATTATGCTTTCTCTTTACTTCTCTGTATATTTGAAATTTTCCATAACAAAAAATGTTTAAAATAACCTTGGAAGCTCTTTAAAATACAGGCCCCCTCAAATGGTGATTCAATAGATCTAGAATGGGGCCCAGGAATTATAAAGATCCCCAGATCCTACCTATGCAAATAGATTGCAGACTATACTTTGAGAAACAAATCAGACATGCAACCTTTATCTTTGAGAAACAGTAAGTCAGAAATACAACTTTTAGCTGATGTCAGGATCTTGGTGGTTGTAGTGGCTGAAAGGTGCAGTGTAATCAGCTGGGTATTGACCCAATACCCTTTTCATCTGTTGTATCTGCTTCCCCAGAAAGGAGCTGTGCGAAGAATCTTTGCCCTCTAGGATAGAGATGGTGAGTGTGGGAGTCAGCACAGAGCCCTGCCGTGCCAGGTGAGTTTGAAAATCAGACTGGGGATCAAGGGAGTGTGGGATGAGTTGGTTTCTTCTTTCATAACTGTATTCACACTTCATATGACCACTATATACTTCCCCACAGGTGGAAGGTAGAGACAGATGAAATTGTCCTACAGCGGCGGCAAAAGCAGATAGATTATGGCAAGCGCACACCTGGTTACCAGTGCTTTTTGCAGCAGGTCCCCAAGTGAGTGCAGTTGTGGGTAGTCACAACAAGAGTGTCAGTCACGTGGCTTTGGTTCGATGTCAGGTGATAAAAATGTTAGAATCTGAGTGGTCTCACAAACTTGCAGCATTACAAAATCAAATGCTCCTGCAACCTGGCCTCGAGGTTAAGTTTCCAAGATTTTTTTCAAATGGAACAAGTCATACTTGGCCCATAAGCCTTTTTTTAAAGCGTATCTAAAAAAAAAAACCCACAAAAACAAAAAACCCTTTATCCATGTTTGCTAATGAAGCTTTTTGCTTTCCAACCTGATGCCTCCAGCTGACTTGGCTAACTGCAATATATTTGCCTAACTATATGTAAGTCTACATGCATACATAGAAACTAAATGTATGAAAAGGTAGAATGTATTCGAAAGGGGTGCCAAATACTGTCTTTTATATGTATTTTGACTTCTGAGGGAATTGGAATATCTAATTTACCCTTCTCAGAAGAAAATATTGGGGAGTTAGGAAGTTGGATGTTTAATCTCATTTGAAGATTTATTTTTTGTATGGGACTGAGGGCATTCATCGTACCTTATTCTTAGAGAATCCCTAATGAACCTCCTGATTCACTGTGATAAGCAGTGAGCTGTGCCCTTTCACTTTGACCTCAGTCTGACTCATATTTGTTGTTGCCAGGGCACAACGACAGCCAGGACTTCATCCTCAAACACCAGACAAAAACAGAAGGTATAGCCGCCGTTCCTGGGATGCCCAGGTCAGGCAGTGGAGAAGAGCCCTACATTCCTGGGACCCCCCGAGCCAGCCTCTGCAGTGCAGGGGGGATGAGGGGTATGTGCACTATTCTTGGTTCCTGTCTTAAGTGGTGGACTGAGCCCTACCTCTCTCTCTCCCTTTTTTGCAGAGTTTTAACCTTTACTGGCTGAATAGGGAGAGTCTGAATGAGGTGCATGTTCCTCTAACTCTGCTGCCTTCCTAGGCAGGGAATGGAGAGTCTCTTAGAACCAATGGATTCCACCCCTTTGGGTGACCTCCTGAATGACTGGCTCCAGCCCCTGGAAGCCTCAGAGAATCTGGATGGAGACCAGAAGAGAGGCCAGGTAGTAACCTCTGCTAAAACTCCTCCCACCACTGGTTCTACTTTCTAACTGATCACAGTTACTTATCTGTCCCAGAACTGAGTGGGATACAAAATACTTAGGGAAAACAGATATCTTTCAGGGGAATTGTTGCTAAGTGCAGGGTCAGACAGAGATGGGGTTTGGTACATGAGGTCACAATTAAGATGGGGTTCAAGGTAGTAGTCCAAGAACAGAAGAAGAAAAATAGAGCAGCAGGAAAAAATAGCATGATGTGAGTAAAAAACCAAAACAAAACAAAAAACTTGGGAACTAAAAGTGGCATAAGGATATTTAATTACAGTTTGTAATGGGGGGAGTTGAACTGCACTGGGGGCTATTTTATACTTGATGAAAGAGGCATAATCTTCTTTTGAAGTGAAGCCTGAAACCTGACTTGCAGGGTTTATTTTTTAACTCTCAGTTTCTTTCAGTGTTTTGCGAATGAGCCAGTGCTAACTTAACCTCTTATACTTTATCATCTAACTTTAATAAGCATGGTTAATAATAAAAAGGAGGATCATCTAGTGGTGAAGACCTAGGGCTTTAGAACCTCAGACTGCTTTTTTAATACTACTTTTGTCTACCATATGGGAAATCACTTAATCTCTCCAGCCATTTCCTCTGTCAATTAAGAAGATTTTGTAAGCAAAAAGAAGAATACATATTAAAGTATGTAGCATGGTGCCTGGCACATAGTAAGTGTTCCATAATAGCAAATATTGGAAACCACGTCTCCTGTAACTTCATGATCCTTGCCAGTTCTTTTGCCAGGGGGAAATGTTCAGGGCAAGGAAATGTGAAGTACAACTTTCCTTCACCCCATTTTCTTGATAAGTACCTAACTTCCCCTCTTCTTTTCCAGTTTGCAGACTTGGCTCCTCACTCGTCGCTTCCCTGGCTCTGTGAAGATCATACACACTGGTTCTACTTTCTAACTGATCACAGTTACTTATCTGTCCCACACTTGAGTGGGGTACAAAATATTTAGGGAAAACATATCTTTCAGGAGACTTGTTGCTAACTGTAGTAGTGAGGATTTACTTGCATGACTGCTACTTTCCAGTCGATTAAAAAATAAATCTAAAATTCTGCCCTACAAAGAGATCACAACACGAAGGCATTGTTTGTTTAAAACCTCTCCTTTTCCATGTTTTGCCTGTCTCTCTAAACCTCCTTTGGTAAATGAGGCTCAAATTTACATAAGAACCAGAAACCATCTAGCTGTTCCCCAATGAATGTCTATGTCCACATTCAGTCTCTTCAAAAAGGACTTAAACTTTGTCTGAAGTGGGAGGTGGTGGCAGTGGTGGCGATTTAATAAAAGGTGATTTATTCTACCTGAAGAGGAAATATAGCACCATCAACATCTTTTCCCCATCAGCCTGTTTCCTCCCTCCGGGTCTTAAGGAAAGTAGTCCAGCTGTAACGACCCGTACTCCCCGCCCCCCCCCCGCCAGCTGCTGAACCGCCTATGATGTCATAATCACAATCCCATTACCTCATCCTGTTGGGGGGGCGGTGCGTAGAGGGAGGAGAAGGAGTGAACAGCCCTGGGCCCTCCTCAGCTTTACAAAGTGTTTTGGGTTAGGGCTAATTACAAAACCAAATGGGAACAGCACCCCAACTGTTATAAGTACTGGATTTATAAAGGTTTGAGCCGATCCGGTCGCTGGAAGAAGGGCTCCTGGGACTCAGAGCAGGCCCTAATCGGCGCTGGGACTACACTTCCCAGAAGCCTCCACGCCGTGGACAGGTCCTCTGCTGGGGGAAGGGGGATTCCGTCACAGAGGAGGCGGCAGAAGGTGGGACAGGAGAGCAGGTGAGAGGGACCTTGGCTAATACTGTTACACGGCCCGAACCTATTAGAGGGCTGTGCTTGGGCCAATACAGAAATGGAGGGCAGAGGCGATGGCTTTGTTTACCTTCGTCGGACATGGCCTCCCCCGCGGGTTTCGCGATGTGCCTCTAACTGGGCCCGTCCACCGTCTGCTATATTTTGGAGGGGGTGACACAATAGTGAGGAAACCGCCCTTATCCTTAAATCAAAGAACCGGGCTCCTTCCCGACAGTGCTATCTAAGAAGGAGTTTGAGAGAGAAACAACGCGAATTTAGAACCTTCGCGGACAGTTCAGGGGGGCTCTGTGAACCAGAGAGATTCCCTTACTCTCCTGAGAGGCCCGTTGGTTCGCGCCGGCGCCTTTTAAGGGCACCGTGGGGCGAGCCGAACGCTCAGAGCTGCTCCGGCCGCGGCCCTGGGAGCTGAAGGAGCCGCGGTAGGTGGCGGAAGGCAGGTGGCTCTCAGGCCTCGGGGTGGGCACCTCAGCCTCTGCTCCCTCTTTCCCTCTTTCCCTCACCCCAGCCCGGCCGCCCGCGCGGCAGGGCCTCGCTGTCCGCCTCCGCGGGGAGAGCACGGGACCCGGTGGGGGAGGGGGTGGCTGAGTGCTAAGTCCCATACCCTCTCCATCCCCTGCGTCCCGAGTTCGCTTCCGCGGCCAGATGATGGAAGCTAATTGGGAAAAGGGGAGCGACGAGCCCCCTGAGCAAGCCCTGGCGCCCCCCCACCGGGGGCCAGCGGACGCCCCATGCCCCACCCCGCGGGGACAGACAGGGCAACCGAGGGAGAGGTTGAAGACTGGAGGGGGCCTAGCCTTTTGCTTCTTCATCGGAGTGGGGGGAGGGGTTCTCCCCACTGTCACCCCTATCCCCACCAGAGCCATATGGGGAACGAACAGTCAGGTCCCCACTTACCTGTTCATGCACCTCCCTGCATCCCTCATGTTTTCCTTAAGTCTCCCCCAGAGATGTGGGGCTGGGACCTGGGGGAAGGTCCCCAGGGGATAGGTGACTCTCCTTCCCCTTAGCCTGACTTGATCCTACGTTCTCCAGGTTTCAGCATAACCTTAGCACGAATGTCTGGGGTTACTGCCATCCAATAGGAAATGGGTTGAGGGTCCAACCTTTATTTTAGGGGGCCGATGGTGAAGGGAAAGCCTGGACTGAGAGTTGGGCCTGGCGGGGTTGTGGGGAGGGCCTTAGCGGCCTGCTGCTCTATGCAAGGCTGAGCCCCGTGCCAGTTAAGCTGAGAAGTTTTAACTTGTTTAGTGAACGTTCAGGGCTCTCTGCCTCCCAAATACACAAAATGGAAGGGGAAGGAAGGCGGCAAGAGAGGGCTTCTTACACTTTTTTCTTTGCCTGCCTGAGAAAGAGGAGGCCCCTCGCAGAGCTGGTTTGCCTTCTTTTGTGTCCTGGTTTGATTCCTTATGGCTTCCGTTCTGTTCCCCCTCTCAGCCTGGCCTGTGTTAGGAAACTCAGGCTGAGAGTATCAGTTGCGTGGTGGTAGTTGCATTGTTCCAATTACCGCCGTGTGTGGCCACATCCCAACAATTAAAATGCAGAAAAACACGAAATCACTCTCTTCACTTGATCCCAGAGAGGGCTGGGAGTTTGCTGTTTGGCCAAATGCCTCATGAAAAGCTTGAAAGAGTTTTGCTTCACTCTTTGCTCCTCATGACTGGTCAGCCTGAAGCCTGGGACTCTGGGGTAAAAGCCTGCATTTAGGTTCCCTCTCTGGTTGATCTTTGAGAATAGAGTTAAGAAACCAAGAGCAGAAGTGATATAAGCTTTAGCTTCTCCCACAAGAACAGGAGAAGCGGCTGAAGGGAGCTCTTAGGAAGCCGGGACTTTGTTCAGGGTTGTAATAATTTTGCATGAAAATGATAGTTAACTATAATGATGATTGACTTCTCCCACACCATTCTTCCAAAAAACGCTTTAAGTATATCCACGTGTATTTTCTCTGCTCTTCCGTGTGGCCTGCCTCCCTCTGAGATAGGAATGGGGTAGAGGTGATTCCCTTTTTTGTAAATGTAGAAAGTGATCTTGCCCCCAAGGTCACAGAAGAGCTCTTTTGGGCTTCTCTTGGTATTCAGGTGATGGAAGTTGATACCTAACCAAATAGATAAACCCTGTTGCCTTCATCTTAATGATATCATCACTTGTGGCATTCAAAGGCTTCGTAGAGTGACAGAGTGGTGAGAAACAGCCTGTGTGGACTCCTGGTTTCTATAGGCCAGATGGGATGGTTTTTACATTTTGGTATTGTGTGTTATGTTGTGTGTGACGGATTAAGATTATTCAGCCTGTTTTACCTGGGTAAACTGAGAGAAAGCTTAAGTGATTTGCCAAAACTGCCACAGCAAATTGGGTCAGGATTTAGGTTTTTTGATAGTTTGTTCTCTCTACTAGCAAATGCTACCTATACCCTCTGGTGAGTTGTCTGCCTGCTGGTCATTTCTGGGAATAGAATAGTAAGAAGACACTAGGTTAACCTCTGCTCATCTCTTAAGTAAGGCCCCTCAGGCAATTATGTGGACTTAACACCGGTTCTCTGATAGAATTAGTGTATTTCTACCAAAATTGACCTGAGAAAGAGTCTTGATTAATTGTGTTCATGGTCTTTGAGTCAGATCAGGCTAAAAACTCAGTTGAGTAAAGTCACAGAGTTGTTTTCAACATCTAGAGTTGAAATGTAATTGGAACTACACTGGTACCATTTCCTTATCCTCTTCCCATTTTTTAAGAGAATATATGTAGTCTCTTTTGGAAAACTGTAACCTATCAGCTGTTGAGTCTAGGGAAGAACTTAAAACCTTGTTTACTCTTGTCTGAAGCAGAAAATCATTGCTACGACCACTGCTCCTCCCTGTTCCCTATTATTTCTGTAGTTTAGGAAAAGGATACCTCTCTTTGCTCCTGACTAGAAGATAAAGAAAATATTGGGCTGATGAGAATGGGAGTAACCATTTGGTCCTCCCTGTCTCTCACTTGAGCTGTTTTCTTAAGTGGTGCTAGTAGTCTGGATAGACAGCAGAGCATGAACCAGGTTAGGAGTGGCAAATAGGTTTTAATTTGCTTGCCAACTGCAGTTCATTTTACCAGATATGTGGTCTGTCAAGCTTCGAATGTGTTTGAGGCTATGTGTAGGGTTAGCAGGAAGGAGCTGTGATCTCTACTGATGTCTGCCAGAGGCCTGGCATAAGGATGCTGTGGTATGTGTGCCATGCATTTTCCATCTCTGGACCAGGTACATCTCTAATATCACTTGGGGCTGGTCCCTCTGTAATTGGCAGACTCAGCAGGCATGACTGGAGAGGGAAGTCCCAATGGTGCTAGAATGGTGCTGCAGTGGCAGAAGACGGCTCACGAGTGAGGTGTGGAAGAACAACAGGGAAGACATCCATCATTTGCTCCAAAGTGTGCAAGTCAGATCCTGGGGAGAATCATGATAACCCTGATCACTGAGCAGCTACAGAAGCAGACTCTGGATGAGCTGAAATGCACACGCTTCAGCATCAGTCTGGTAAAAGACCAGTCTTCCTGCTTCTCCACGACCCCCTCCCCCTTTTTTCAGAGGCTGTTTGTTGCTACTACTTCACCCTTGTCCTGTGCTATATGAGTCATGGTACTTGTACTGGAAGAGTCCACTAAAAGCTCAAGAAACCCAGCCCAAAAGGAAAGGGGCAGGGATTTTTCCACTGATAGAGAAGGGACACCAAAACTTGGGTGGAGAAGGGTTTGAGATATTGGAAGATGTGCATTATTTTACTCACTAACTTCGGGAAGACAAGAAGAAGAGAACACTTAGGAGTCCCTAACATCCCAGTAGCCCAGGAATTGCAGGGTTGAACTGAACAGGGATTCTTGGAGGTCTGTGGCCTGAACCTGAATCATGACGGATATTCTCTCTTTTAGCCTTTGCCTGATCATGCAGACATCTCCACCTGTGGGAACCCTTTCCAGCTTGTGCCTGGTAAGGTATTGTGTTTGCATATATGTTTGTATGCCCTTACTTCTATCCACATATTTCTTTCATTGGTTTCCAGTGGCTAGGACTAGGTATTCTACCTCCACAACTTTCTTGCCAGGGTCACCTTTTGAGATGGGCACTGTCTGTGTTTTAGGTATCATTATGTAGTGTTGAACATTTCCTTGTTTTATATAGCTCTACATTATTGCACTGTAGGGACGTACCATAGTTTAAACGGTCTCCTATTAATGCATATGAGGTTATTTACAAACAAAACCATAGTGAATAGCCTTGTATGTGTCATTTTGCACCTGTGAAAATGTATCTGAGGTATAAATTTCTAGATTATGAATTATTCAATAAAGGGCCTGTGATCATGGGGACATTTGGGTAGAAGCGTCACTATTGTACAACCACAACTCTGACCCATGCTGCTAGGCTGCTATGCAACCCATTTTCTTTTCTGGGATACCTGGCAAGGGAAGTCAGTTGTCAAAAGCATCTTCATTCAACTTTTTCCTTTGATTTATTAAATACTTGCTGAGAGCCAGGGATCGTGCAATACATATAGAACAGTACACATGGTCCCTGCCCTCATAGAGGTCAGTAGGGGCAAGAACTGTGGACCAAAAAAGTGACATGTAGATTTCCTCCATCATCAAGTATGATTTCATATACTTATCAGTTCCAAATATATAGCCCCTGCAGAATTGCAGTCGTCTAGCCAGAGGAACTTGGAGGAGGCCCTTTGTCCCTTAGTGAGCTGCCTCCTAAAAGTCAGAGTTTTGGTTAGAATGCAGTGAGAATTATTCCTTTTAGTCCACCTCCCCTCCACTCCTCAGTCTCCCAACATGTTTGGATTTCAGAGCAGGCCTAAGGAAAGGGAATCACCGTACCTAAGCAGGGTTCCACCATCAGAGGCCTTTTGCAACCTGTTTGCCCTCCCCAGGAATAAAAGTGATCTCTTCCGTGTTTGGTTACCTTAATACTTGACAACCTGAACTCCTGTCTTGGTGCTTTTGATACCTAGGAAAGGGGAAAGGCTAAGGATAGGAGAGCATAGGCCTTCTTTTCACAACCTGGGGCTGTGGGGGTGGGGAGCAAAGTAGGTCTGGGTTGAGTGAAGTGCGGGATGAACAAGGCCCACTGTGTACACATGTTTATTTCTATTGTTTTTACCTTTGAGAGGGAGTGGCAAGGCACTATAGGAGAGTTTATTTTCAATTTAACATGGTTTCTCATAATGGAGGCAGAATAGCATAGTGGTTAAAAAACAGAGCCTTAGAATCAGACAGACCTGGGTTTGAATCCTGCTTTGGTCATTTGATTGTTGCATGACTTTGGGCAAGTTACTGCACTTCCGCCATCTGTGAAAGGGGCATAATAATAGTACCTACTTCATGAGGTTTTTGGGAAACCTCACATAAAGTGCTCAGTTACATTGCGGAGCACATAGTAAGCTCTTGAAAGTATATTAACTATCATTAATATGATTTTTCCTATGAATACCTTCCAGAAGGTGCTTCCTGGAGGGGCCTGCCCCGCTGTTCCTGTGCTGAGTTCCAGGACAGCCTCAACCTCAGCTACCACCCCTCAGGCTTGAGCCTGCACCTCAGACCACCAAGCCGGGGAAGTTCCCCACCAGAGCAACCCCTCTCCCAAGTCCTAAGCCCTGAGCCCCCTGACCCAGAGAAGCTTCCTGTGCCCCCCGCCCCTCCATCCAAGAGGCACTGCCGCTCACTCTCAGTGCCCGTGGACCTGTCTCGCTGGCAGCCGGTGTGGCGGCCTGCCCCCTCCAAGCTGTGGACTCCCATCAAGCATCGGGGCAGTGGTGGAGGGGGTGGGCCGCAGGTGCCTCACCAGAGCCCCCCGAAGCGGGTCTCCAGCCTCAGGTTCCTCCAAGCTCCCAGTGCCTCTTCTCAGTGTGCCCCAGCCCACAGACCCTGCAGTCCCCCTTTCTTCAGCCTGGCCCTGGCCCAAGATTCCTCTCGACCCTGCGCTGCCTCCCCCCAGAGTGGCTCCTGGGAGAGTGATGCTGAATCCCTGTCACCTTGCCCACCCCAGCGCCGCTTTTCCCTGTCACCCAGCCTGGGCCCACAGGCAAGCCGCTTCTTGCCCTCTGCCCGGAGCTCCCCCGCATCCTCCCCAGAGCTGCCCTGGCGACCTAGAGGCCTCCGAAACCTTCCCCGAAGCCGCTCACAGCCTTGTGATCTGGATGCCCGAAAAGCTGGAGTCAAGCGGCGACACGAGGAAGATCCCCGGCGGCTGCGGCCTTCCTTGGACTTTGACAAGATGAATCAGGTGGGACCAGCTGGACTAAGGAAGCTTGGATGGGAGCAGAGGGACTCTATTTCACTTTCGAGCTGCCCTAGTTCCATGCTTTCCTGCCAGGGCCACCCCTGGAGCTCCTTTCCATCTGAGCTTTCACTAGTGTGATCTATCACCCCAGTTTACCCAGGACTGTCTTGTTTTAACGCTGAATCCTGAAGTCCCATGTCCTGTGAAACTTCTCAGCCCTGGAGGTTTCAGAGAAACTGGGGTGAAACCCTTGTTAAACCTTTCCAAGAAATCCCAGATTGTCTTGCTAGAGGCACTTTCCCTCCTCTCTGAGAATGCGTAAGCCATTAAGTGCCATTATCACTGCCCTGCCCCCCTCGTGCTCAAGGCTGGTTTTGCCACTTGCCGTACACTGCTTTAAGTGCGTCTGGGAGAGTTTAAAACAGGCTGCTGCAACATTCATCTGTTCAGCAAATGTTTTTGACTTCCCAGTGCGAGTGCAGTTGTCTTATGCATTTGCCCACTTATTCATATTCTTTCTTCTAGACCACTGGGTCAAAACCTCTTTGAGAATTTATACACTTATTCACAGTCACCCATCTAACCAGTCAGCAAACATTTATTGGATACCTGCATGTACCAGACTCTGACTAGGCCCTGGCAGTACAAGTAATAAAATAGGCAGATGATATTCCTGCCCATGTGAAACTTATAAATGAGCTTCTAATCTTGAATCTGATAGAAAGTATGGACTCTTCCCTCAAACAAATGTACGTGTGCGCTGAATTTTCCAAATTTTATCATGGAGTTCATAAACCTCACCCTAAAGCATGGGACTCCTGACTTTAAGAGTAACTAAGAACACTTTGAAATACAGCTTGAGCCAGGGTACTCTGGGATGTTAGTATCTTCCTTTGCCTTAATTTTGTTGTTTGTTTGACAGAAACCATACTCAGGAGGTGTCTGTCTCCAAGAAACAGCCCGGGAAGGCAGCAGCATCTCTCCACCGTGGTTCATGGCCTGTAGTCCCCCACCCCTCTCCGCTTCCTGCAGCCCCATTGGGGGTTCCTCGCAGGTGCTGAGTGAAAGCGAAGAAGAGGAGGAAGGGTCCGTGCGGTGGGGGCGGCAGGCACTGAGCAAGAGGACACTGTGCCAGCAGGACTTTGGGGACCTGGACTTGAATCTGATTGAGGAGAACTAAAACTGAGAGGCTACTTCCTGGGGCCACACAGACTGACTCTCTTATGGCTACTAACAAGTGTCGAGGCCCCAAGTCTGGGGACCCAGCCTGGGAATGGGGGTGAGTTGAGGGCTCCGACTCAGGGCAGCCGGAAATCTTCTCACTCCAGGAAGCTCGACCATGCCGAGAGACTGGCCGGGACAAGATATACAGAGCTGGTGGCGGGAGGGACAGCCCCAGAGCAGACCCTTCCCATGGCGGCCCTGAGTGTGAGTATCCCTGCCACCGAGAAAGCAGTGGGCAGGGAAGGAAGGGGTCTGCTGACCCCAGCTCGGGGAATTTCACTAGCCCCTTTGCTTCAAAGGGCACTTGTGTCTTAGAATTTGGCCAGGGTGGGGGGGTTCACTCAGCCTCCTAGGAGAAATTGTGTGTGAGAGAGAGAGAGAGAGAGAGCGCGAGAGTGAGCGCGTGTGCGTGTGTGTGCATGTGTGTGCATGCATGGGAGTATACTTGAGGAAAGGTGTGTTTGCGTAGCCTTAGGGAAGGAAGGCAGTTGCTCCTTAACAGTAGAGCATCATGATAACCCCAGGATCTTGAGTTTTCACAGGACAGTGGGCTTGTTCAAGGAGTTAGAAGGAGGGCACCAAGTTTTTCTTCTTTCTAAGTAGCTCTGGAACCAGGCTTATAATCCATAAGCACTACTGGCTCTGCAAAGGATTCTGTTTGGGGGTACTGCAGGGTCTTTTAAGTGCTGTGACCTCAGCCAGTGGTCTTTTCCTCAGGCCCACTCCCCTCCCCTAGATAGATTTAGTATTGGGGCTGGAGAGGGCTCTTCACGTTGATTCTGAGCTGGCCTTCTTTTCTTATCAGATTGCCTAGGCTGTATACAACCTGCCTCTCACTCTAAGTAGATGCAAGCACATGTGTGTAACTGAGGCAGGGTTGAAGGGCTTCATCTCTTTCTTTCCCTCTACTGTTGGGACCTTTTTCCCCTCACCCTCTGACCTTCGATGCATTTGGACTGCTGACCATTTAAAAGCAGCCTGTAATTGCTTCTTTTGTAAAGCAAGCAACCTCCCTCTACTTTAGCTGTTTGACTATTTGGATTTTCACATATTGGGCTTACCCAGAGTGGAGCGCACCTCTATAGGGCTGTGGTTGACACTGGGTAGACATTTGCATCTGTGTTGTGTGTGTGGTGTGGCTGACCAGTAGGTGAGTATTCCTGCGTGTGTGAGTTAAGCCACTCCCAGGCTGGTGCTCTCCTCCTGTGCCCGGTGACTGCCCAGTGGCAGCTGCAGCTGCCCTTCACTCCCACCTGCTGCCAAAGTCCCTGTGCTAATGGGATTACAAATACAAAAAGTGGAAAAAAATTTTTTCGTAAACTTTGTTTTATATTAAAAAAAAATCCATAAGTCTGTGTGTGTGTTAAACATGAGGTCCTGCCTCTGTGGCTGTGTTTGAAAAAATAAAGTTTTATTAGAATAATCCATTTTCCCAAGCAACCTTGTGTTCTACAGTGTCTTCTTCCTTTCTCCACAAAGAAAGGCAAGGAGAAAGCAGGGAGAGGGCCACCTAACTCTTCTAGCCCCTTCCTCCATGGCATGGATGGTCCTTTGCCCTTGGAGGGCAGTATCTGGTCCCTAGGCCCTTTGGGGCCACAGCAGTCATATGCTTGTGGCCCAGGCTTGGGTTAAGGCCTTGGATATTTCCAGCAGTCTGATCAGGTCTCTGTTTCCCTGGTACACCAGTCTCCTCTGCTGTTTTTTCTTCTTGTTGTTGTTTAAAGGTTTTATTTGTTTGTTTTAAGTTTTGTTTATTTTTAGAGGGAATGGAAAGGGAGGGAGAGAAACATCAATAGGTTGCCTCTCACACTGCCAGCTGGGGACCTGGCCCGCAACCCCGCCATGTGCCTTGACTGGGAATTGAACCAGCAACCTTTCGGTTTGCATGGACGACACCCTTCCCACTGAGCCACATCAGTCAGGGCTCTGCTGTTGCTCTCACTTCCAACACACTGAAGTGAAGTATTAATATATTCTAGCTCCCTGAGAATGCTTGATGGTGTAGGCAGGGACTTGTCTAGACTGGTTTGTAGGCTTTGGAAAGTGGGAAAGGCAGGATGGGAGATTTGATCAGGAATCTTTAAAAAAAATTTTTTAATTTATTGACTTTTAAAGAGAGAAACATCGATTTGTTTTTCCACCCATTTATGCATTACTGGTTGATTCTCATTTGTTCTCTGACCAGGGATCAGACCCAAAACCTTAGTGTATTGGGATGACGCTCTAACCAACTGAGCTGCCCAGCCAGGACAGGAATCTTTCAAAAAAGTTTTCACATATTGGATAGATGGAGATTTAGTCATCAGAATTCAGATTCCAAAGACCTAGGCAATTTCTGCATCCTAAAAATAATGCTTTTGTAAAATTATCCTACCAGCAATGCTTCAGTTTGGAATATTCACTTCCTGAAAGAAGCTGTGTGGCTCACTTTCTTTAGACCTTTCTATTACACCCTTTCTTCTCCCTACGTTAGCATTCTTCTAATGTGTGTGGGTGAACTGTAGTTGCTTAGAGATCCAGGCAGGAGCCTCTGTCCCTAAGGCATAGCCTTTCTTTACCAGTTTGGTGCTGACTTGCCAGGCAGCAAGAAGAGTCAAGTTGCTTAGCCTTCGTCCCAGTTTCCAGCTCCAAACTGGTGGCACTCATCATTGAATACCAATGAAGTGTGCAAGTGGACAGGATTGGCCTGACTACCTGGAGCAAGAAACTTGCGTGTGTGTATGTGTTCCTGGTGCAGGGAGGGAAGGAGGGATGCATGGGGTAGTGGGGACCACCTGGTTCCACACCCGGGAAAGGGGGGAAGGTCGAGGGAGGTAAGGGGGAGGATGGGAATGTTGGGGTGGGGGCTGAGGTGGGAGGGGGAAGAGGGCCTGGGTGGACAGAAACCTTTAAGGGGATGAAAATATGCTCTAAAAGAAGTGGGAGTTGTCACCTGCTCTGGAAACAAAGGGAGGGGCTTAGGGGAGTGGGGCAATGGGCATGTAGTTAAAGAAGCTCACCATTATAGTTTTTTCCTTCAAAACTACTGTGTTATTTCATCTGCTGTTTCAGCAGGGGTAAAATTTGAACATATAACTCTTCCCCAACCATTTTCCTTTCTGTTCGATTTTGTTGGTTTTTCTACTGTTTGTTTACTCTAAGGCCAAATGTGATTTCCTTTACCATTCCTAAAGTCCTGCTAATGCAGGAAAGAATATAAACTGCCTGAGGGCAAGAGTTTTTGTTTGTTTTTTAATTTAGTGTTGCATTCCAGCACTCTGAGAAGTTACTGGCACATGAAAAGTGCCTGACATGTTTTTTGAATGAATTTTCCACCTTTGCCTTCCCATCACTGAGCTTAGGCACATTTTTATTTCTGATTCAGTGAGAAGCCAGCTTTGAACACTGGGGTAGTTATTAGAGCTCCACATGGGAGAAAGTTCCAGTGGAGAATGTTGATAGAAAAGCTGCAAGGCAGCTAGATCCTATATGGAGTCACCTTGTCCCCCTCCTACTAACTACAACTTGCGGGCCATGTGCTTTAAGAGGTGTCTCAACACAGGAAAATATTCTTAGGCCTTAGGTTGGCTATGGGAAATGGAAGTTCCAAAGAAGTGTTTCCTTGGCGCTCCACAGGGTTAGTTTTAGACTCACTCTCCTAAGTATTTTATACTTTAGCTAAAGCCAATAGTTGGTGCCTACTCTCTACCCCCTACCCCTAATCTTTGCTACAAGCCAAGTAGGTGAAGGGTAAAGATGAGGTTATGGACACATTACTGGGCAGGCACATTAGTCATGGAGAACCAGTTACTGCTCTTTCCTGTCTGTAGGACAAATCTGTAAAAGAAACAGCTGCTTTTAGAGTAACAATCATGGATTATTACTAGACCCTTTATCTTCCTGGTTTGTATACTCAGTCTCTCCATCCTTAAGACCATGGAAACTGTGCTACTCTCTGACATTACCAACATTAAAGATTGAGATTTCCCATTGCCTGGTGTGAAAACAACCTAAGCAAAAACTTCCATTACCTCTCCCCCCACAGCCCCTTTCTAACAGGAGCTATCAATTTCCCACATTTAATGTGAATTCAGATTGAAGCGGTGGGGTTTTCTTTGTCCCCAGCCCCACTACTTCCATGGTAAGATGAGGTACTATTACTGAACCAAAGAAAATAATCTCCACTGTTTGTCTCTTTCCAATTCCCCTAAAAGTTGAGGTGAGAAACACCTGGACTTAACAATATTGGCACACTTGGAAGGGGAAGAGGCTCTGTGGGTTTAAGACAGAATACTAAGATGTTGGTAGCTCATTGACCTTCAGCCAGTGAAGAAAGTGGCATTATCACATCCAATGGATGTAACACATTGTTCAATTGGAAAGGTACCCATTAAGTCATGGTAGTATAGAATGAGGTGGTAGCATGTTATGGGCCAGTGAAAAGATTGTCTGATGGACCAACAGGGGGGAAGTTTCCTAAAAGACAATGACAGAAAGGGCAGTACATGTTTTCAAGATAGAAATCAATAGGTATTGGGGATGTTAACTTCTCAGCTCAAAACACTCACTCTCTAGGTACTTTGCCCCTCAGCCCCCCACCCCAGTAAAAGTCTTTGGTGTCTGAGGATGGTAAGCTAAAGCCTTCTCAGTTATGGGACCCCCAGAAGGAAGGTTGGGACTAGGGATGGTGCCCTGGAGGACTGCAAGACCCGCCCAGTTCCCCACCCCTGCCAAAACTGCAATTCCCCTCCTTGACGCAGGGGGCACTGCAGGCCCCGGGGAGGTTGGGGCGGAGCGCTGCGAGGGGCCCGGAGCTGCCACCCCGCTCCGGAGCGCGGGGGGCGCTGTGCCGGGGCCCGGGCTGCAGCTCCGCTCCCGGCCACCGGGGGCGCTGCGCGGCGCCGGTGGTTGGTGGTGGCTGTTGGGGGGGTGGGGGGGAGCCGCGGCCGCGGGTGGTGCGGAGGGAGGCCTTGCGGGCGGATCGGGCGCTCGGCGGCGAAGGTGGTGGGAGGCGGCGGGCGGGAGCACGGGTCCGGCCGGCCCTGGCGATGGCGGACGCAGCGGCCTCCCCAGTGGGCAAGCGGCTGCTGCTTCTGTTCGCGGACACCGCGGCCTCGGCTTCGGCCTCGGTGCCCGCGGCGGCGGCGGCGGCGGCGGGAGGAGATCCGGGGCCTGTGCTGCGCACTCGGGCCTGGCGGGCCGGCACGGTGCGGGCCATGAGCGGGGCGGTGCCGCAGGACCTAGCGGTGAGTGACGGCCGAGGCGGGCACTCGAGGCCGGGGCTGCGGGGCCTGCGGGCGGCCTCCCCGGGGGCCTTTGTGAGGGGGCGGTGGGGTGGGGGTGACCCAGTTCCGCGCCCCCAGGTCTCCTCAGCGCCCCCCACCGGCTCCTCAGCACCCCGAGTTCTGGCCGGCATGGCTTCCGCGTCGGGGTGCGCGCCCCGGTTTCCCCCGGGGGGTGGCCGGGACGCCAGAAGCTGCTGCCTCCATCCGGCAGGCCCCGCCTCCTGAGCGACCCTTTTTCTGCTACTCACCCCCCTCCCGCCCCCAACACGCCGTCGGAGTAGGCTCTCGAACCCTGGGCCTCAGGGCGCCTCAGAGTTCGGCCGGTGCTGCCGCTGTCCCCTGGAAGACCCGGACCTGTAATCCCCAGCCTCTCCCTGGAGACCTGCGCCCTGTTCCGTCCCTCCCGCAGCCCCGAGTGGGGCGGGAATGTGGGCAGTTGTGAGCTGCACAGAGGCTGCAGTTGGAGCTGCTCGGGGCTTTTTTTTATCTGGCAGTTACTTCCTCCTTGTCTGAGCCGGGCTCGGCCTGGCGGTCTCCAGAAAGGCCAGCTCTCCTTGCCTTTCTGGGTGACAGGAGCTGCAGTTGTGGCTGTTTTTGATAACTTTGAGATCTGTCTTAGCAGCTGAATGGTGGTGCTTGTTGGCTCTCGGCTCGGCTACTCCCCGAGCCTTGGGAGAGGTTTTGTTTTGAAACTTTGTGTTGGGGCTTGGCCGCTTTTGAATACTTGCCTTGCTGTATTTTGTGATTAAAGTTGTTCAGTAATAGAACTTAACTAGCATTTGGGACCATGATGTGCTATTTTTGTTAAGTGGCGGCAAATACACTGTCTTTGAGCTTTGGCAAGCCTCTTGAGTTCCTCATTCTGATAGCGGCCCCAGCTTCTCTGTCGAGATAAGGCTATGAAAAATAGGAGGATTCTTTCGGAATGTAATAGATCAGCAGGTAGAAGGTAAATTTTCTTGGTGAATTTGCTTCTGCAGATTTTATTCACTGTAAAAGAGGACGCAATTCTTGAGACTTAATAGTAACAGTGTAGGTTGCTGTTATTAATTTTTCTGTTGATCAGCTGTGTTAGGCAGCCCCCCTCCCCGACCCCCAGTATGCAAGCTTTATCGGTTGACTTGTGGCCCGTTTAGGCTT